CAGTTCACCTACAATTTGAGGGGCAGGATGATAACTGCCTATATCTCTGTGAAGGGCAATTCCCTTCAGATGTCTGCCTGCTGGGAATCCCAGTTCTTTGCACCTGTTGCAAAAACCAAGACCCGCTCCTGAAAACCTCTCCAGGTCTCAGCAACAATGATCAAGAAAAAGTGACTCTGTAGTTCCTGTCATTGCCTTCTCCTGAAAATAAGTATAGAATCTTTCAATCCTCAGTGTGAAAAAAATATTATTGGTTTTGTCACGGAAATTAATATTCATGGTGTTTTTTGGAGGAACTCACATAGCTTTGGTTTCACAGTGGGTTGAAGTCGAATGTAATTTCATCTGCTTCTGCTCTGACACAGTGAATGCATCCCTGCCTTGCCTCCGGCTTATGAAGACAAGGTTCTACAGCTTCCCTGGACACCTCTGCAGACATGGATGGTATCACCCAGTCAGCAACACGTCCTGTAAAATACAATCTGTAGGTGATATGACACCTTGGCAATCCACCTGTAGCAGTTCTTCAACATACTCCTGCACGGCATGCCATAGTTCTGGTTTTACAGGGTGTTGCTGCTGTCTCTGCTGATAATAGCCTCCAGACCTTTCATCAAAACCTGCAGAAGTCTCATGTATTTTGTATTTATCTTTTCAGGAAATGTGATGTTCTGTTTCTTTTGAACCTGTTTAGCTGTAACTTCTTTAAGTATTTTATGGCCCAGAAAGGATTACTGCTAATACATAAGTCCAGTTGTTTACTTTGCTGTTGTGCTCCATCTTCCACCCCTCACAAGGCCCTCTCTTCCCTTGGTAAAGGTTTCTTTGCATTGATTCCCAAGGCTCAGCACAACAGAGTTCTCATGACATCTTCTGTATCTCGAGATATATAAACGTGTTTAGGTATGTATGACAAAGACTGAGAGTAGTATCAGTAACTCCAGTTTAAAATATACTGCTTTTGCTTTCTTGAAGCTGTCTCCAGTCCAAGCAAAAGAGGTTCAGCAGATAAAAAGCTGAGACAAATTACAAAATAAATCAAATCCTGATAGAGCGTGGAAATCTCTGCATCTACGCAATCAAATTTCTGTCCTGTAGTGACAGTATGCCAAAAATGATATCACTGTGATCAAAGTTTTTAAGTAATTGTGACCACAGATTAGAATGGATTAAAGTTCAAGGTGTGCTACATTCATTTCCTTCCAATGGCCGTGTCCTTGGAGGGCAAACCAAACCAAACAAACCAAAGCATTAGAACTCAGGGGACCTTTCTGAAACAGTTACTCATTATCTTTTAGATGTTGAATAAAATCACCTTGCGGAACATGCATCTAACAACTCATCTTTCACTGATACGGCTCTCAATAAATTGTCTGCTCCCAGAGTTATAAGACTGAGGAAGTTATTATGAGAACGGAGCATTTCATTTCAGATGAGACCACGCGAATCTCAAGGAGAGTGGAGGCCAGCAGAAGGAGAAAGTCCCCTGATGTACATCTAATAATTAACACAGCAGAACATTCTTTCCCATGAGCAGGTAAATCACTTACACACAGTTCACTTGGGTTTCTCACCCTTATCTCCAAGGGTAGATGGAGATTTTTTTTTATTTTTATTTTTATTTTTTTTGCAAGTTTGATTTTTATTTTGGAAAAAAAAAAAATTGAATCAGTGAAGTGTATGATGTGGAGTGCAGGATGTATAGCACGGGAGGGACAACAGTCAGTGAAACTGCATTAATTCTCCCACAAAGTGAGAGCACAAGAGATGACTCCATCTGTCTCCACCAAGTTCTACACTTGAAAGATCCAAGTTTATTTTAAGCATATATATGTGTTTACATCTGCTGAGTCAGCAGCCCCTAGATGTGTTATTTGGGCCCTACCAGCCAAATGCTGCTGTCTTTGTATCATAATCCCTTTCCCAAGAAGTGGGGAGCAGAGGTTCAGGCCTACCTCATCCAGCACCCCTGTGGAGAGCATCTCACCAGTATGAAGCCAGCGGTATCTGCAGCTCCTGCAGCTCCACGGGTCTCCTGCAAGCCTTTTGCCCCAGCTGATGGCAGCATATGAAGGCTGAATTATTAAAGTCAGCTGTTGAAAATTAAAAGCAACATCTCTTCCAGCAGTGCTTCAATAAGGCCTGTAAAGCTGCCTATAGGGTGACCATGGTTATGGGCTGAAGGAGCAACGTGACACCCACCAAAAAGCAGAAGCCCTCCTGCTCTGGCCACCGATCCAGCTCCTCTGGTTCCAATGGGCTTGTCAGCTCTTTTTGACTACCACCACCAATGAATGCTTACCAGGAAATCTAGCCACTCTGAGCTGATGAGAAAGCCTCAGTCCTGCCTCTCAGCACTTCACAGAGATGCTTCGTCTCTATTGTGCCATTCCTTTTGCTTGCTAGATCTGGAACTTCAGTAGTACCTGGGAAAATAAACTAAGAAGCCACGTGTAGTGTTATGAGCTCACTTTGTTTCGATGTTGCACTGAGTGCAGGAAATTCTTAACTCTTTTGGACCGTGGCCAGCACAAGGAGCATTATTTCTAGAGACTGAATAGGCTATGAAGCAAGTAAGTGTCCTGTGTGTAGGCTGGATGTGGCTCTGGACAGCGTGGTCTGGTGACTGGTGACCATGCACACAGCAGGGGGGTTGAAACTTGATCATCTTTGAGGTCCTTTTCAACCCAGGCCATTCTATGAGTCTACATTTCTAAGCCTAACTCAAACAGAATGGATCCCAGTAATAATCACATTTTCTTTGAAACACTCCTGCTACTGTGAACTTTCTCATATCACAAACCATTCACAATATTTTGACAATTCTAAAAGATTAAGTAAAAATACTCTATGAAAAGTTAGACTAGTGGAGCAGTCCAATTCAATTGTACTCATTCTGTATGAAGACACAGTTAATAAGCAGCTGTGCTCAATTAGTAAGAAACCTATTTAAACCTAATGATATGCACGGCCAGGGTTGGTGCTGCTTAATGGAGACAGTGCTTAACTGAGAGGCTTTCAGGTGACAGAACGGTTGGAAGTGACACGTTGCTCTGCCTCATGTTTCAGCCTGACGGAGCCTGTATCTGTCCCACTAGGAGCATTCTGCAGCTGGCACTGTGCATGAAGTGCACCCTCGCTGCCTGCCTTCACCTTCCAGCTGTGCCTTCAGCACCAGCCCTCCCGCAGAACAAATCTGCTCCTCGAGGATGGAGACAACTCAAGTGTGAGGTCTGCTGCCATCTCCCTCTGCTGAAGTGTTGAAGTTGGGATTTTCATTAGTCAGAAGGATTTTATCACCAGCTCAAGTGCTCGGTAACACTATCTGGGCTTCCCTGAGACATCCATCCAGAGCAGCAGTGGATACAGCTGCATGAATGCTTTCAGCAAGAAGTTAAAAAAGTTTAGGATTCCTATTGCTATGACTTCCCCTTCAAGGAACAGCTGCTGTATTTTATATATTAGAAATTAATGCTGTAATACTGGTAGCTGAGGCAGAAGCCTCAGCTCAGTTCCTAGAAGCAAGTGTCCCTCCTGTTTGAGCCTTCTGCTGGCAGTCACAGTGAGAAATGGTCACTGAGAGCAGCCCCTGAATTGAACTACAGCAAGGAACTGTGCTCACAGATTGAAACCAGACCTCCAAATGGTACGGCGTGGGTCCTGTCAGCTATCGCGATCAAGGTTGTGGATGCCCCATCTCTGGAGGCATTCAAGGCCAGGCTGGATGGCTCTGGGCAGCCTGGTCCGGGGGTTGGACTCTGCACATAGCAGGGGGGTTGAAACTGGATGATCATCGTGATCCTTTTCAACCCAGGCCGTTCTATGATTCTATTATTATGGTTCTGTGAATGCAGCCTTTAATAAGGTCAGTCGTGGAGATGGAAAATGAGAAGGTTATCAGCAGATAACAGCAATCCTAAAGTGCATTGGAAACAGGAGATGGGCTGAGTGGTCGTTTGATCAATGCAAAGGTGACTGGGTCTGACAGACTGTAGTGTCCTGAGCCACGTATGTGTGCACACACCCCTAGTGTACCTAGTGAGAAATACAACATAACTTCTGCTCATCACTGCGAGTCTGCCTGCCAGCTGGGGGGTATCCATGAGGTGAACCTCTCATGATGGTACCTTTCCTGAACATCTTCAGAAAACACTCAGCCTCATCGAATGCTTTATGTCTGCCTGCGTCCAAAACTCTTTCTCCTGCTTCCAATAGGAAGCTCAGCTCGAATACATAAGGGAAAAAAAATATTACTTTAGCATTATGGTCTCAACATCCAGGAAGCAAAACAATTACGGATTTTAAGAAAGCATCGTGTTCCCAAAATCCCAACCCCAGTCTCTCACACTCTTACACAGCTGCATTCTGACCCGGTAGATGTCGCAGCCTCTCTGTCCGCGTTTTGCTGCCACTGCCTTTCCACCGTCGGCCCCTTCTGCACTTACAGCCAAGGCCCGCAGGGGGACGAAGAGCCGAGATCCTGCACAGAGGAAGCGGCGTGACAGCTCCGCCGCAAAGCTGCGGCACACACCAGGGCACCCATCCCACAGCGTCGCACCTTTATTACAGCTGATGGATTTTCACGGGAGGTGACGGTGAGAAATAAAAACACCTTCCCTGGAGCAGCTGCAACACTATTTTGAAAACGCTGTAATGCAAAAGAACTTTCTGCCAATAACACAAGCATGGCATAATTTACATCCACCGTGTAAAGGCATGAAAACAACTGAGCAAGACCAGCTCTGTGCAATTGATTTTCAGATAAATGGCCAGGTCTGGGAGCGACTGCAAGCACAAGAAAGAGTAGCTGAGCAGAAGGTTAAGCGCTGCTTTGACTCTCCAATGCTCTTGTTAGTCTGTAAAGATTGATTATCAGAACTGTAATTTGGTTACCACTACAACAGCTTCAGGTTTCCTAGCAGCAGCTTGCTGGAGCTGCGAAGGTTAAAGACAAATTATGCTTTTTTTTAATAAACTCTTCAAATGATAGTTAAACACGATTGCTAAGAAGCAAACTGTCAAAGTTGTTTCATTTATTTCTTAATATCACCGCTGTACAATTTTCATACATAACAGCAGGAAATGCACATTGGTTACACAATGGCATTTGGCTGCACTTCCAAGTATAATACATTAAGTGCAATTCCACTTAAAAATGTACATTTATACAACTTAAACAAATTAAGGATTGCTACACTACTATCGGTGACAGTATAAAGCTTCATTTATGTTAAGTCATTACTAAACCACTTCCTGGTTAAATATAAAACATATTCAATCATTTTAAAATTGTTCTCGTGGTACTCGGCCAGAATATAAAATATCTGCCGTGTAAAATTGAACCACTGGCTTTTCTTTTCAATAATCCCCTAAGCCTATTAAAATGTTTGCTGTCGAACTGTTATACTGGCACTTCGTAGCAGGAACCAAATTGTACCCTCCTTCAGTTTGACCTTGCACTGCTCATCACCGAAAGAAATGACATGTGTAATATACTGCAGCTTTATTCAGATACAACCAGAGGGCTCAACTATTTTAACAATTCTGCTCAAATGTTAAGTAACATTCTTCCATAAGGAAAAAGAAATTACATTTCAGAAATATTCGCCGTCAACATTGTAATGGTTGCTGTGCTACAAGCACTGGGAGGAAAAAAAAAAAAAAAAAAAAAAAAAGTGATTTATTCATTTATCTTTTAAGACCCACCTGGATATTTAGTTTGAACTCTTATAACTTCACTTTTGGAATACATTGGTCCACAGACCATATTCTTGTTACAGCTTACCAAGTGAAAAACAAAACTGCTTTTATTGCCGTCCCTGTAACAGGAATGGTTCAGTTTTAAACCTCCTTTAAAAATATACATTTTACAATCCTTTCACCTCAACAAAGGTGACACTGACAATAAATACACTGGTTTGGTGGTTTTCTTTTTCTTTTCCACGAAAAGTCTAGAAACTACCTGTTGTAGGCCCTTTCTTTTTTAGATTTCTCCAACGCCTTGTCCATAGTTTTCTCATTTTCTCCTCTACATTTGGGGCAGTACCACTTGCCCTTCGGTTTGTGATTGAGTCCCACACACGAAAAGTGAAACCACTCAATGGGGCACTCATCATTATCGCATCCTATCATTTCTCCATAAGAGACTTGGTTGCATAAGCAGTATGTTGGCTCGTTAGGATCAATGGGGAGGTCTGGGGGAGAAGCTTCCCGCTCCGCTTTAGCCTTGGATCGTTTCTTCTTCTTGGACGTTTTTGCTTTCTTCTCCTTTGGAGTTCCTGAAGTGATGTCATCGTGGTCATGATTATTTGAAGCATTTTCTCGATTCTCATTATTTCTTTGCCTCCTCGACCTCTTGTTGTTGGGCTTCTCAGATTGAGCGATTGTCTCATTCTTTGACTTATCCTGGCTGGCTTTCCCACTGTTTCCAGTGGTGTCATTAGTCTCTTGGCAAGTCTCAAACAGTTCCACATGGCTGTCCACTTGCCTGGATCTGTTCTCGACCAGCTCTACCATCTGACTGACGATTTGGATCTTCTCATCTCCCAGCTCCTGACTCCGAATCAGTGCCCTCTGAATGCAGTGCAGCATTCTTCTCTTCTGCACAGCGTCATTCTCTCGTTTGAACTTTTCATAGTAGTCATCCAAGTCCTTCAGAATCTCTGCAAAGAAAAAATAAAACCAGTAAGGATCTCAGATAAAGAATATGATGAAACAAAGCCTTCTTGTATTTTTCCTCCCATTCAGCAACACCTTTTCTAAAACACACAGCTGATCAGTTGAGAGCAGCCCTGCAGAGAAGGACCTGAGCGGTCCTGATGGATGAAAAACTTAACATGAGCCAGCAGTGTGCTCTTGCAGCTTGGAAAACAAATGGTATCCTGGGCTCCATCAGAAGAGGGGTGGCCAGCAGGGACAGGGAGGTGATTGTCCTTCTCTACCCTGCTCTTGTGAGGCCCCATCTGGAGTACTGTGTCCAGGTCTGGAGCCCCCAGTACAAGAAAGACAGAGAGCTGCTGGAGAAGGTCCAGAGGAGAGTCGCAAAGATGATCAGGGGACTGGAGCACCTCCCCTACGAAGACAGGCTGAGGGAGCTGGGCTTGTTCAGCCTGGAGAAAAGAAGGCTGCAGGGTGACCTCATTGCAGCCTTTCAGTACCTAAAGGGAGCCTACAGACAGGAGGGGAATCAACTCTTTGAAAGGGTGATAACTGCAGGACAAGGGGAAATGGTTTCAAGTTGAGGGAGGGAAGATTTAGGTTGGATGCTATGGGGAAGTTCTTTACAGAGAGAGTGGTGAGGTGCTGGAACAGGCTGCCCAGAGAGGTTGTGGATGCCCCGTCCCTGGAGGTGTTCAAGGCCAGGTTGGATGGGGCCCGGGGCAGTCTGGTTAAATGGGGAGGTTGATGGCCCTGCATGTGGCAGGGGGACTGGAGCTTCATGATCCTTGAGGTCCCTTCCAACCTCGGCCATTCTGTGATTCTGTGATCAGTGATGAATTCCCTGAAGATGAAATCTGCCCAAGGACTCATGACTCCTTTGGACTGCTTTTGTCCAGTAGGTCCCTCAGGAAGAGAATGCAAGTGTGGATTTAAGGAAAAAAAGAAAAAAAAGATGAAACAACCTAGTGCTTTTTGACAATTCTTTTCTTTAAGCTCATCAATAATTTAAGAAAATAATAATAATGACAGAAAGTATAGCAACAAAAATTCTGACATCAACTGCCGAATTGAAGGGGGAGGTAACAGAATACTTCCTAGGACATTTTCTGTATAATGACATATGTTTGTAGTGAGTGACTGAGAGTGGAACAGAGAGAAAGCATAAACCAGCACAGAAGTTAGCCCACGAGTTACTTAATAATTGCTATCTCACTTGACAGCTGATGCAGAACTCCAAATGCACCGAGCAAGGCATTCAGTTACAGCAAGCGCCATTCGATACTGCTCTGTTACTGCTGAGCATATGAGGCCAATTAGATGCTAATAATGACACAACAACTACAATAACCAAGAAGTCTAGGTTCTTTCAGCCCTGTGTATTCTGCAAAACACCTGTAACTTACTTTTCTAAACACAGAAACATATTTTTCACTAAATATTTACTGTAAAAAAAGAGACAAGAGTTAGGAGATCATTGTGACAATTTCTAGGGTATATCTACAAACTTGCTTTAAGCAGAGCTTTTGGAGTTCTGCTGTGGTACTCACACACACTCAGCCATCCTAACTCACGAGGACTTGGCTTCACAGACACCTCTGTCATCGTTCTGCTCACAGCTTTCCTTTTTCCCAGGTGAGTCCATTCTGGCTCAGATGAGCAAGATGCACACAAATATGGAATCTCACCCCAGCTCACTGAGTGGAAATCATCAACCCATACGCAAACGTCTTTGCTAAAGCTGTAGAGAATTATTTCTTAAAGTGTTTTGCTGTTGTTGGGGGTGGTGTTTTGGTTTAAGAGATCTCGATGCTGTCCATTTCTGCGCTGACATTGCCGTTTTGCCACCCCTGGGCACTTGAACAAATCCATTCCGAAGACGCATGCTGACACGTGAAGCACACACAGGCTTTATACGGCCCTGTTAGTCACCGGCGTGACTAGCACCGGCATCTCACGCTGTTACCAGCTACCTCCAACAAGGAGCTTGGCTCTCACTACTCCAGCTAACGCTCCGCCCCTCCCGAGCTCAACAAGTCGGAACGTGCAGCACTCTGCAAGCGGCGGAACCTAGCAGCACTAATTCCCAGCGGCTGCAGGTCCCCCAAACGCGTCCGTTCCCAGCGCCGGAGCCGCAGAGGCACCCCGGGATGAACGGCAGCGCTGTCCGCGCCCCGGATGTGACGGAGCAGCTATTGTTCTCCGGCAGGAAACCGGCGGCGGTTCCCCGGTTCGCAGCGCAACAGCCGGAGCAGAGGAAGCGGGGTAGGAGGAGCCCGGAGAGGAGCGGAGGCGGCCCTCCGGCCATTCCGCCTATCAGAGAGGGCGACGAGGAAAGCCCGCCCCTGCTGTCGCCCCGCGCCCAATTGAAAGCCGGAAGAATCAAAGAGTAAAAAAAGCACAGAGCCAATCACAGCGCGCAGAGCTGCCTCGCGCCCGCCCCTCCAGAGCTGCCGCGCCACTCACGAACGGGAGGAGGCGGGTCCAGCGCTTCCCCCTCCCGCGACGCCGCCGGCCTCCGGACGCCCAAGGTTGGCCTGCCCGCTGCTGGCGCTGCAGCCAATGGCAGCCCAGAGGCCGGGGCAGGTCGAGATATTCAAATCAACGCCACAGAAAAGTTGCTTCTCGAAACGTCACGCGGGGGCGGGGCGAAAGGCGGGATGACCCGCCCCGCGGCCCAATCAGGGAGAGGAGGCGAGCCGCGGACGGCCCGTGGGGAAGGCGCCCACCAATCAGCACGCCCGGGGGCGGGGCGAGCGGCGCTATGCTAACGAGGGATGGTTATAAAAGCCACACCGACGCCAAATCCCCACCACAGCGCGGAGGCACCCGCTGGTCGTACGGTTTCGGAGCGCGCCACAACCGCGCCGATCGCCTTGCCCCGCCACTGCCGTCTCCCCACCCGCTGCCCAGCCCCCGCGGAAGTTTCCCCCGTCCCTTTCCCTCCCGTGGGGCCGCCTGGCGATATGCCCGCCGAGCACCGCAGGGCTCGCTCCCCGCCTCCCCGGGAGCCTCGAGCAGCGGGGCACAAGGGCTGAGCGAGTGGGGTGCTCCCCACCCCGCGCCCCGGCTGTCAGCGCTGCCGGCTACGGCCTCCCCTCCCCCTTCCCTTCCCGAACGCACACCGGCGGGCGAGTGACAAAGCTACCCCCAGCTCAGCCCGGCCCGACCCTGCCCTCCCTCCGCCCGTGGGGCAGAGGCACAGCGTGCCCCAAGGGAAGGAGAGGGGTACCCCGGCGCTGAGCACATCCGTGAGCGTGGCCGCCCCCCCCCGTACACACACACACATACACACACGCATACACACCACGCACCCGCCGGTCCCAGCCCCCCCCCGCCCCGCTCAGCGGGGCCGCCTCACCGGGCGCAGCGAAGAAAGCACACCCTGCCCCCCGCTCTGCTTAACCCCCCTCCGCTCTCTCCCGCCCGCCCCCCCACGAGCCGCCTCTCTCCCCTAGTCCAGCCATCATGAATACTGTACATTCCTCTATGTTGTGCCGTAATCTCTCCCTCGCCGTCCGCGCGGCACTTTCCTCCGTAGCCCCGAAGCCTCCCCCCGACGCCCCGCGGCGGCGGAGGGCCCCCCTTTGTGCCCCGCACGCCCCGCTCCCTGCCCCCGCCTTCTCGGCCGGCGATTCGCACGGCGAAGCGGAGTCCTCGCTCCGTATGAGGAGCCGGGGACCTTTTGTTCCGCCCCGTGACAAGAGGCAGCGCTGCGGCTCGGCCCCCCGGCACACGGCTGCCATCCCCGCGGCGCGGGGGGCACGAACAGCCGAGCCCCGGCTGCGGGGAGAAGAAAGGCAGAGACAGCCCTCCCCCAGCTCCGCACCGCACACACGCACGCAGAGAGAGCGCTTACCTTGGTATTTGGCGTCGATTTCCCTCATCAAGGAGACATTTCTCTGCAGATCGAAGGGCAGAGACTCGATGGAGTCCAGATAATCCTCCACGTAGTTCACGAGGTGCAGCTGCTCTCCGTTTGCAGGACTCAACATTTTCATCCGGCAAAGAGGAGAGGAAAAAAAAAAAAAAAAAAAAAAAAAAAGGGGGAAAAAAAACCCTCCTCCTCCTTCCCCACGCCTCTCTCCGCCGCCGTCCGTGCCCCGTTCCCCCGGCAGCTACATGGGAGCCCGCTGCCAGGCACAGCCGAGCTCGCAGCCCCCTCCGGTCCCTACAGCCCAAGCAGCTGACTGAATGGCTGTCGCGGTGGGGAACTCACGGAGGAGGTGGTAGGAACAATCAGCGGGATTTGTGCGTGCGGAGGGAGGGGGGGAGGAGGAGAAGGAGGAGGAGGGAGGGGGCTCGGGCCAGCCCCTCCGAAACAAGCCGCCAGCAGAATGTGCCCCGCCGGGCGCTGTCAGAGCCAGCCCGGCCCGGCCCCCGTTCCGCCGCCCGAACGCAGCCTCCCCGCCGCCGCACGCCGTGCTCGATCCAACGTGGAGGAGCCGAATCCCAGTTTCAAACACTTGGGAAACACTCAGCCCCGCCACGAACAGCGCATGCGCGGCCCTCCCCGCGCTGTGTACACACACGGACGGACGGACACACGGACGCGGGCGCACACACCGCGCGCGCACGCTCCCCTCCCCCGCCCGGAACCGCGGCGGGGCTCGGCGCCGCCCCGCGCTCCTCGTCCCTCCTCCTCCTCCGCCCCTTACTCACGTTTGGGGGGAGGAAGGCGGTGTGGGCGCGGGGAGAGGGAGGCGGAGGCTCCGGAGAAGTCGTGCCCGGAGGAGAGCGGCTCCTCCTGGGCTCTGAGGGCGCGCGGGGCCTGAAGGGGAGCGGAGTGCTTTGGGGCACGGGCGGCGAGAACAGAGCCGAGGAGTGGCTCCGGCCGCCGGGGCGCCGGGAACCACGCGGCGCCACCGCCCCGCTCCGGGGGCAGGGCCGGGCCGGGCCCGGCGGAGGGCAGCGCGGCCTCCCGCCTCTCAGCGGGCGGGCGCATCGATCACCCCCGCGGCCGCGCCGGCCAATCGCGCGCTCCCTCGTGGCCCGCCCCGCGGCTGCTCGGCCAATCGGAGCCGAGTGGGAGGGAGGGCACAGCGGTGACAACACCGCCCTCCCGGGATACCGGAGGGGCGGGAACACGCGCAGAGGGGTGTGGAAGAAGGAAGGGGGAAAAAAAAAAAAGGAAAAAAAAAAGAAGCGGGGCGGAGTGCGCATGCGCAATGCCCGCTGCGCGAGTAGAAAATGGAGCCGCGTTGTGGCGGGGCAGGGCAGGACTATGTTTCCCGGCAGGCTCAGCGGCGAGAGAAGGGTCAGTGACAGGCGGTGGTATTCTGCTCCTCTCTGGGCCTGAGGCGCTGGCGTACAGCTGCCGTGTTCCACAGCCCTAGCGGGCTGAAGCGGTGGAAAGAGCCGGGAGCGAAGCACACTCCCGCCCGACGCGCCGCCGCCCTGGCCGAGACAGCCGAAAGAGCCGCGGGTGGCCGCGCGCATCCGGTGCCGCCCCTTCGAGGAGGGGCTCCGAGGTGCAGGGGCTGCGCCTCAGCGCTCCCGCCCTGTGAAATGCAGCGGCGCGGGGCCGTGCGCCTCGCTCTTCGCTAAGTACAGAACGCAACGCGCTTTTCTCACTGCGCGTGCCGCGGGACGACGTCACCGCCGCTGCGGAGCGCTTTAATCTCCTTTTTATTTCAGTGGTCACGGCCCGTTGCCAGGACGACGGCCTCGCTGCCAGGAGGAGGGCTGCGGGCGGGCGGGCGCTGAAGGGATGGATGGGAGGCGGCTGCGTCTCTGCTCGGGGGGGAATGTGCTCGTGTTTACCTGGAATTTCCTCTCGCGGCGTGCCCGCGGTCGCCCGAAGATCTCCGGTTTCTGTTTGGAGGGGCGGGGAGGGTCTGGAAAAACGAACCCGGCTCTCGCAAAGCAAAACAAACGCTCGCCGTCTTATTTTCTTAAAACGTCACCGGCAATCCCCTAATTGAGGGGACTGACTCATGGCTTCTAAGCCCGGACCTGCTGGTGCGGTTGTGCGTTAGGCGCTGCCGTTCTGCTGACTATCGTGTGGGGCACGGGAAGGGCCTCTTCGCTCGGCTGCCGTCGGCGCAGCGCCCAAGGATTGTGTTTCTAAGGTCTGTGAGGGTTGCAGACCGTGTACCCCTTCCTGCTGGCAGGCCTGCCCCGGCAGAGGTTGGAGCTGGGTGGTCTTTAAGGTCCCTCCCGACCCAAGTGCACTACGATTCTATTATTTCACGGGGCAGCTTCTTGTTTCCTGAAGATGCGTTTAAGTTCTTGGTTCTTCCCCTGGTTTTCTGTTTCTTTGAATTGCTGTGCTTGCTGTAGCAGACGTTGCTCATCTGAGCTCTTACGTAAGTTACTATGAGTACTACAGCATCCAGGCAGCGCTCCAAGCTGGCGCTCCTGGGCCAGCGTGTTCTGAGTTACAGCGGCATTGAGAGAGTGCAGTGGCAGCAGCAGCCTGCAGGCACCGCAGCTGAATCGCTGGCTCCACCTGGGCAGTCGCTCTTGCCTTGAAGAAGCTGAGCTGCTGTCAGCGATTAAAGGTGGTTAACAGACCCCGGTAGCATAAGAACCAGAGCAGATAGCTGTAACGTGCTAGAAACCAGACGTTTAACAAAAATATAGGTGAATCCCAAGGAGAGCCATTCTTACAAGAAGGGCCACAGCCATCCTAGACACACAGGACTAATTAGACATAGGTAGCTCTGAAAGTAATGTCTCCTGTTTATTTCCATGGAAACTACTACAGGTGCAAAGAGCACAATAACGCTATTTGATAGAGCAAATACTCAGCTACAAATCGCCGTTTGATTTTAACAATCACTACTGTTAGCTGTGCCCTTTTGCCGTACAAATAAGAAATCAGTTCATAAAAGTTACCTGTTAATTTGTTAAACAAGAAATTCTATCCCTTGTTATAGGGAGGTGTAACTTCCAAGTGTAGCTGTGGTCTGCCAAGCTTCAGTGACGTGCTCAAAAGCAGATGGGTGTGGATGTGTTGAGGATGGAGAACTGTCACCTGCTGCAGGGGTGCTGTTTGCTCAGTCTTCTTCCATTTGCCCTTTGGTGTGGGCCAGAAGAGTGACAGAAAAAGCATTGCTGGGCTTTGCACCAGTCTTGCAGCAAGGGTAGGGCTGAGTTCTGAGAGTGTTTAGTAACTCCTTTCACACTTCCTTCTCTATGTTTTACATTGGCCTTTTCTCTGTGAACTGAAGTAGGAAGATGAGATGGAGGACTTTGAGTGGAGTTTCAGTTCTTCTTTATTAGAGGCACGCTCCTTACAGTGACAGAGCACGCACAAGCATAGGGGATGACTGCCATGTGTCAGAGAAGGAAGAGAGTTGTGGGCTTTTGTGTTCTTCCTATTTTCTGTGCCTCATGGGAGGATGGTGTATCTAATGCTCTTGCTCCCAAGCTCCTCTGCTCTGATTGTACGAAGGCTTTTCCTATTTAGAAACCCGATTTTAAGTTTTTTGGAAGTTTATTGGAGCCGTGACCTCACTGAAGATCTGAGCTCTTTGCAATGAAAATCAGAGGAACATGTAACCAGATCAACAGCTCATACAGCTACCGTGTAACATACTTTGTGTATATGATTCATGTAACATGAATATTCCAGAAATTGTCTCTGGATCATCAGCATAACATTCTGAATTATTAATGTAAGTAGCATAAAATCTCAAACATTCAAACATGAATGTAGATATTGAGGATGTGTAAGGACTTCTACCTCTTTTCTCCACCTTAATTGAGTATTGCTGCATGAAATACTGTGCAATTGCTACAGCTGTGTCCCTTTTTATTAGAAAACAGTGTCTTCTGATCATTGGTCATCATACTTCATAGGCACAGACAATTCAGATGATTTATTCCTTCTGATGAACTGTTGTTTTTTCTCCATTTAATAGCTTTATCCCTTTCTTCTACAGTTACATATGGGTGTTTTTTGTTGTTTCATCTAGTCCGTTTTTTTAGGAGACTGAATTCATACTCACCTTGGAGGTTACAATGGCATTTTACAGCTCTATTATTTTTGCTTACAGCTGAAGGTTTGGAAACAAAACAGCAGAAGTTTAACATGCGAGATGAGCAGGGTTGAGTTTTGCAAGTATTAAGACCAACAGAGAAGTCACACTTCAGACTGTCATCCAATAGGTGCTGTCTGTGAGAGATATCTGCTTTCGTCAAGAAGTGGTGTGGAATTGATGGAACTGTAACATCTGGGTCACTGAGTCGGTCTCTCTGCTCTTTCCGGGAAGAACTGACCTAACCCAGGCCTTTTGTTCTTTAAAAAGTATTGTAATAGAAGAACAAGGATTAAGCCCTGCTTAGGAAGAAAGGTATTTCACTGGATGCAGCTGCTCATCTCTTTGCCCTGGGACTGTCAGTCTCACTGCCTCACATGCGTTTTCTGGCTGCTGCCATTCACATCTGCTGCGCTTTGTGAGCTCAAACAGCACTGCATGAAGGGTGCCCTGTGAATTCTGACTACAACCAGTGACTGCGCTGCAAGGTAGAAGAAAATTCAGATACAACATGGATCAAGGAGCTCCAGAATCCCATCATGATTTCCAGAGATGTACCTCAGCAGCTGGAAGCATCAGACAGACACCAATCTGTCCTCCGGCTGAGCTCATACACGCTCTTGGGAGATGGTGACTGCGGTTTACTACAGAGCTCTAAGCAGCTCAGCCCACTGCAGTGGATTTAACTCATCTTCCCCTATGGTTGGTAGTTTGTCTTCACAGCCTTTTCCCCCCCCTTTATTTTCTCAGGATCAGTTTCCTTACCAGGTTTCTGGGCTAGAATCATTCTAGAAGGGCCACAGATACCAGCAACGTGTTCCTGTGAACACATGCCAGAGAAACGCACCTTATTTAGTATTGATTTGGGCTCTCTGACTGTACAGAACAAAGCACACAACGGAGTTAATGACAGCTCCTAACAAGATGTGCTGAACGGTGAAGATGTCTAAACCAGCTTGCTATGGAAAATGAAATAAGGGGCTTTTGAAGCTTCTTGTGAAATGTACCAAGCAAACATTTCCAAGGTCCCTTTGAGCTTCATCCACCAAGATGCAAAACAGTAGGATAGGTTTCTTATTTGATCAAGAAGTTAGGATTGTTCAATGAGAAGTATTATGGAAAGGAATTGCATGTTAAAGAGAGAAACCATTTGTCTGTGGTAGGGCTCTGTATCTGATACTGTGTGACTAAGTGAGGTACGGGCGGACTGTATGAAGAGAGAAATCACTATGATAATTTAAAAAAAAAAATCATAGAATACTCTGAGTTGTAAGGAATGTACAGGGATCACCAAATCCAACCCCTGGCTCCATACAGGGCCACCCAGCAATCAGACCACATGTGTGAGAGAGGTGTCACCCTTTGAATTCCAGCAGCTCAAGGCTGTGCCCACAGCCCTGGGCATTCTGTTCCCTACCCACCGCCCTCTGGTACAGAACCTTCTCTTAACTCCCAGCTGCCCCTCTCCTGACAGCTCCGTGCCGTTCTCTCGGGAAAGCTGAATGCTGTTGTTAAACACGAGAAACACCCACGAAAGCCGTCCCCGACAGATTCAACAGGACGTGACGTCTGTGAGGCAGGCAGCTCACCAGAGCCAGTGCCCAGCGTGTTCATCCTGGCGGGCCCTTCAGGACGCTCCAGCAGGCAGCAGGTGGGGTAACCAGCTTCTACATTCAGCACGGACCGCCGGGACTCTTGAAAGCGGCAGCAGCCGAAGCAGCTCAGGGGCTGGAGAGCGGCAGGCAAAATGCGGCATACAGTTGCTAAGTTCTCCCTTGTTTCCCCGGTACCTGCGCGGTTAAAACAAGCAGTAGCTTAAAAAGTCTTCGAGCAACCGCGCGTGCGTTCCATCGAACTTTTATTCACTCCGATTCTGCAGTTCAGAACTTCCACAGCGGATCCGGGCGGTGTAAGCCCAGCCTCTCTCAGCTCTCAGACCCAAGAACGCCGGCAGCGGGACCGCCCCGCGAGGCGCGGCGCCGCTGGCCCCTCCTCTTCCTGCGCCGCGGCTGTGGCTGCCCAGCTCGCCGGCTGTCTCCCTGCACGGGGAGCGCGGCTGTCGCGGCTGTTCGTGGCCGTCTCCTCTCGCCCCCTCCCTCCCGTCCCCTCGGCGAGGCGGGGCAGGCGGTGCGGCCATGCTGCTCGGCGCGGCGTTCCGACGGTGCCGGGCCGGTGGCGTCGTGGCGCGGCGTCGGCGGAGCGGGGAGGCGCGGCGGAGGGAATGGGTGCCGCCGGCGGGCCGAGCGTGCGGCGTGGTGGCGTACAACAGCCGGAGCCGCAGCAAAGAGCCGCTGGTGCTGGCCAAGGACGGCGTGGCCACCTGGTAACGGGGCGCCCGGGGGCTGCGGGGTGCCGCCTTCGGCCCGGCGCGGCGTGACGGGCGCCGTGTGTGCTCTCTCGGCAGGTACAGCTGCGGGCCCACCGTGTACGACCACGCGCACCTCGGGCACGCCTGGTGAGTGCGGGGGGCTGCGGGTATCCTGGGCGGGTAGCGGAGGAGACCCTCCTTTTGTGTCGGTGTGATTTTGACAGAGTGGGTTGTTCGAGTCTCGATATGGCAGCTGTTAGTTCTTTCATCTTCGTCTTACTCTCTTCTGCTAGTACTGCTCGGGCGTGTGTGATGCTCCTTTAACGGAGTATCACTAATGAAACTTCGTTTTGAGGAAGGAGAGCTTGCACAGCAGGATGGTGGAGCAGCTAAGAATCATAGAATCACTCAGGTTGGAAAAGACCTTAAAGATCCAGACCAACCTCTACCTAACCATACTACCCTAACTCTAACAACCCTCTAAATCATGTCCCTGAGCACCACATCCAAACGGTTTTTAAACACACCCAGGGATGGTGGCTCAACCACCTCCCTGGGGAGCCTATTCACTTAGCAGGGCAGAGGACCACACGTTTTGGTCTCACATCATTCTGCCGGTTTTGGTCAGCGGTTCTCCATCTTATTCTGATTGAAGGCAAGCCCTACCCATATCTTTATATCCTGTGCCCAAACTACCACTTCCAAGCTTCAGTTACTGTTGTATGAAAGAACAGGTGGGGCTGAATGTCACACCCAAAGCAGTGTGTCATGCAGATAAGCAGCAGCGTTACTATTCTGTTGCTGCCTCTTTAGTGCCTTCATGGGTTGTTTCCTAGAGTGAGGTGCCTGCACTGAAGATCATCCTCTTTTTTGATCAGGTGAACCCTTCAATGAGAGAGGCATTAGCCATTCCTTCCAGTGTCTGCAGTCATGCATATGTCAGTTTTGGCATTTTGTTGCTCAGCTGCTTTGTTCTAGATGGCAGAACATACTTTATTATTATTACTATTATTATTGCTGCTATTGTTATTATCAGAGGGGCAGCTTTGCTCTCTATGACAGTGACAGGGCACAAGGGAATGGCATGGAGCTGTCAGGGGAGGGGCAGCTGGGGATTAGGAAAGCATTCTTCACCAGAGGTTGTGGGCATGGAACCAGGCTGCCCAGGGCAGTGGGCACGACTCCAAACTGCCAGAGTTCAAGGAGTGTTTGGACACTGTTCTCAGCCATGTGGTCTGATAGTTGAGTGGTCCTATGTAAAGCCAGACTTGATGATCCTTGTGGGTTCCTTACAACTCAGAATATTCTATGATTCTGTATTATATTTTTAATTTTTTTTTTTTTTTTTTTTTACCAATTGCTAGGCCCACCTGTAGAGCTGTAAGGATATTGCTTTGGTTGGCACAGCTGAGAGGAATGCTGCTGCTGAGAGTCTACAGATCAGGAAGCATACTGGGAATAAATATGAAGTCAAGTGGAGCGATAGCTCTTGCTGTGGTGTCCTTCCTACAGAAGTCCCTCATTGTGCTGCACCTTTGCAGCATCTTATCTCATCACAAGAATTCTAAAAGTGAAGGCATGAAGCCATCTGGACTTCTGCAAGGCCTTTGACAAGGTCCCCTCCACATCCTTATTTCTAAATTGGAGAGAAATTGATTTGAAGAGTGAACTGCTTGATGAATAAGGAATTGGTTGGAAGATCACAGCCATGGGATTGTGGTCATTGGCTCTATTTCTGGGTTGGGGCTGGTAACAAACATTGTTCCCCAGGGGTCTGTCCTGGGTCTGGTACTGCTTAACATCTTTATCAGTAACATAGATAATGGGATCAAGTTCACCATCAGCAAGTGTGAACGGATCACGCTGAGCTGTGCGGTTGATACAGCAGAAGGAAGGGATGCCATCCAGAAGGAACTTGATAAACTCAAAAGATGAGCCCTTGTGAACCTAATGAGGTTTAACAAAGTAAAGTGCAAGGTTTTGCATTTGGGTCGAGGTAGTTCCACATATGTATACGAGCTGGAAGAAGAGCTCCTTAAGAGTAGCCCTGCTGAGAAGAACTTTAAGGTTGTGGTTGAAGAAAAACTGAAAGTGAGCCGGCAGTGTGTGCTTGCAGCCCGGAAGGCCAATGGTGTTCTGGGTTTTATCAGAAGAGGAATGGTCAACAAGGACAGGAAGGTGATTGTCCTCATGAGGCCTCAGCTTTGGGAATACCACAAGGCTGGGACTCCCAACACAGGAAAGATGTGGAGCTTTTGGAGAGGGTCCAGAAGAGGGCCACGAGGATGATCCAAGGGCTGGAGCACCCCTCCTGTGAAGACAGGCTGAAGGAACTGGGCTTGTTCAGCCTGGAAAAGAGAAGGCTGAAAGGAGACCTCATTGTGACCTTCCAATTTTTAAAGGAAGTCTATGAACAGGAGGGAAATAAACTTTTTACACGTGTAGATAGTGATACGACAAGGGGGAATGGTTTTTAAACTAAAGGGAGATTTAGATTAGATGTCAGGAGGAAGTTCTTTACTGAGAGAGTTGTGAGGTGCTAGAACAGGTTTTCCAGAGAGACTGTGGGTGCCCCATCCCTGGAAGTGTTTAAGGCCAGGTTGGATGGAGGAGCCATGGGCCATCTGATCTAGTACTTGGTCGAGTGGCTGGCAGCCCTGCCTGTGGCAGGGGGGTTGGAACTCAATAATCCTTGAGGTGCCTTCCAACCGTTGCCACTGTATGATTCTATGATAAATCCTGCATGCTGTTCTTCCTGGTGTGGCACCCCCAAAAAATCATAGGGAATTGAAAGGGACTTGTAAGGTCATCTAGTCCAATTGATCAAGGTGCTCAGAGCTCCCTTTGGCCTGGCCTACAGTGTCTTCAGAGATGGAGTGTCCACTACATTTCTGGGCAACCTGTGCCAATGCCTTGCCACCCTTACTGTGAAAAAACTTCTTCCTTATCTGCCCTCTTTTATTCTGAAACTGTTTCCCTATGTCCTGTCATAACAGACCCCACTAAAGAGTCTGGCCCTAACTTTCTTTTAGCCTCCCTTTAGATACTGAAAGTCTGCCATTACATCTTCCCAGAGCCTTTTCTTCCCCAGCTCTCTCAGCCTGTCCTCATAGGGAAGGTGTTCTATCCCTTGGATCATTTTTGTGGCCTTCCTCTGCACACACTCCAACAGGTCCACGTCTGTCCTGTATTGAACTCCACATCTGAGTACCGTATTCCAGGCGAGGTCTCACCGGTGCAGAGTAGAGATGCAGGATCACCTCCCTCGACCTACTCACCATGCTTCTTCTGATACAGCCCACGGTGTGGTTAGCTTTCTGGGCTGCTGGAGCACCTACTTCATTTGAACTGCTTTCTTCTTTGCAGTTTGATGCTGAAGTTGCAAGGAGCCTGCTTTCTGAGATTTACTTGGGCTATTGCAGTGCTTCTTCCATCGATTAAGTTAGAAGATCAGAGGGGAGAGAACAGCACAGAGATTGTATGTGCTCTGGAAATTAAATCTGCAGCACTGTTAAATCTGATTTTAAGCTTTTTGATTCTGCTATTGTCCCTTTGAAAGAGATCCAAAGAATAATTTAATATTCTTCTGGAATAGTGTCATGACATGAGATGAATATTGCTCCCGGTGAGCTGGTATTCATTAATACCAGCTGTCTCCCTGGTAGCATGTGGCACATTCCAAAAGGCCTTTTTCTAATATGGACACTGTGCAAACAACATCAGAAATGTATTTTTCTTCATTAAGATACTGCACATGCTGAAATCATCACAGAATTGTTTGGCTTGGAAGGAACCTTAGAAGACCATCCCGTTCCAACCCCCATGAGCAGGGACACCTCTCCATCCAATTCTATGGTTTGAACACCTCTGGGGATGGGGCATCCACAGCTTCTCTACATAGCTTGTTCTGGTGCCTCATAACCCTAGTCTTGGAGAGTTTCTTCCTTGTATCTAATCTAAACCTACTGTCTGTTAGTTTAAAGCTCCTTGTCCTATCTTTACACTCCCTGATGCTCCCTCCCCATCTTTCCTGTAGGCTTTTTCTGGAAGGCTGCAGTGAAGTCTCCCTAGAGTCTTCTTCAGGCTGACCAACGCTAGCTCCCTCAACCTCTCTTTGTAGGAGAGGTGGTGCAGCCCTCTGATCAGGCTTTTTGTCCTCCTCTGGACCTACTCCAGCAGGTCCGTGTCTCTTAATGCTAACTGATCTCTGCAGCTGAGGAAAAGGGTACAGATCCACTGATGGTGTTTTCCTACATGTATTTGCTTTGACAGATGCTGGGGGTGCATCCCAGCCAGGGCAGTGGGTGCCATGGAGAGCTGCAGGTCTTGAGGTTTCCTTTACTCCATCCTGCAGGTGCAGTGCACTTGGGTTTCTTCAAAGCCAGAGGAGGCTGAGATTTCTCCTGGTCTCGCAGAATGGACTGAGAGCCTGCAGTCACCTTTTCTTATTTCTCACAGAAGCTGGGCTTTACCCAATTGAAATGTGTTTTGAGAATTCAGAATGCAGAGCCCATGACAACAGAAGGCACCACTTGTATGTGGGTCTGTCTGTCCACACTGAATATTCATTGTTGTCATGTAGAGCCTGAATGGTGCTGAAAATTTATTCTTGAGTCTAAATAAAATAACCTCCCAGAGCAACTCTTCTTTGCTGTCAGAAAAGATCTGTGGTGATGTGTTAATGAACTATAGCTGTGCTTGTATCTGTAGCTACCACTCATCTGTGAGCAATGTTGGAGTGAGTTGGTTTGTTTCCCCATACTGTGGGCTGCGGGCTTTGAGAAGCTGGTAGCATACAGACTAGGATGGTTTTCTTTTTAGGATCAGCTTATATGTCATGTTGTGTTCTTTGGAAGAGTCTCTTGCTTAAGAGGCAGTTTCAAAAGTACCCCGTTGTTATCATAAAAAGATGCAGGAGAATGGGGAAAATTTGCTGTAATGTGTCACTAATGCCAGAAGAGGGTAGAGCAGTTCAACTGAAATTTACTTGACTTCTGTGAGGATTGGAATTAATTTTGGAAAAGCATTTTATGTACTTGAGACCTTCTTTTGCAAGTATTTGGGGTATCTGTACAGCTGTCATTTTTTTCCAGCATTTTATTCATATTTACTGCATCTCTAAAAGCTCCTCTTTCTCTTTTCCAGCTCCTATGTTAGGTTTGATATAATCCGAAGGATATTGACTCGTTTTTTTGAAACTGAAGTTATCATGGTGATGGGGATTACAGACATAGATGACAAGATCATAAAAAGAGCCAATGAGGTAGGTATATAATGCTACAGCTTTAGACCCAAACGTTTGGTACGTCCTACTGCTAGTTATATAGGGAAATGTTCGACATTTGTTTGTTTGTTGTTTTAGTTTTTTAATTTAATTTTAATTTAGATAAGAAATTTTGGGATTTCTAGCCCTCTGTCTGCAGCTGAGGCAGTGGGCCTCACAGCCTCATGCCTTGTCTGGAAGGCAGTGGAAAATAAAAAGTCGTGATGTCCCTTTACTAGAATTGAAATGAACTGAAACTTTCAGCCAGCTGAGTTCTGTTTTCTGTGTCACTGATTGTTAAAGACAGCATGTAAGTGATGAACACAAGGTTGAGAGCAGTTCCTAAAAGGTGCCGAGCACCATCTAGCTACAAAGTCAGCACCTTCTTTGGGTAAGCCTTGACAAGGCTGGGGCTCGGTGGCAAGATCAATACAAAAATTGTGAATTAAAAAAATAAATCAACACAATCCAACTTTTCACTGAATTCTTAGTTATTGGCCTAATAAAAGGCTTTATGGCTGTAAGTAGCCCCTAGTTGGTTTTTAATCAGATCTTTTGTAACAGCTGAGCTTGTGAATGACTATTCCAATTTCTTTTTTTAATGTTTTTTGGACTGTAAAATGCCACAAATGTGTTCTGCTTTATAAACTTGTTTTAAATAAACATTATATTGGTTTTTGAAATCTGGATTGTGAATGAAGTGAACTGTAATTACAGTTGCAAGTCTTATGCTTCAGCCAGATAATTTGACAGGTATCACTTTATTTATTCCTTACATAAATGATTACTCTTGCAGTACTAAATTGAAAAGAATGCTAGCACTGCTCTCTTTTAAGAAATATATTTGTTCCCTTAGAAACTTCATTTGCAGGTTTTATTTTTAAGACCACTACTGTCTAACAACAACAAAAAGCCACAACCTTTTTAAATCTATATGCATGTATTTTACATTTTTTTTCTTTGTCAGAACCCTATGGGATTTTATTTTGAAGGTAATACGTTCAGTTATTCCATTCCTTGGCTCTATGAGGAAATCTTCTGTGTGGATATTTTTTCTTTTTGAAATACTTGCCCTTTTGTGCACATTTTGTTTGGGACCTCTGTATCTGAAACATTACGACACCAGAATCAGTGTATCTGACTGTGTTGTCCATCCTCTGGTGGGACTCATCTATACAGAATCTGAAAGTTGGGCATCTGCTCTGTGAGGAGAGTGCTCCGTTCCCCCCGTGGTCCTTTGAGGAAGAGATAAATTGGATGCCCATTTGGATGGGAGGGATTTCCTTGTCTCCCAGTGAATGTCTTTCTGTTGATCAAAGAAGCATCTGAGTTGCTTGTTGAGTTGAACCACATCACAGGAAGAGTTCTCTGTCTGGTCTGCAGGTAGAAGCATGGCTTTGCCTCAGTGCTGAAGCATCTTCCTCCTTCCATTGCTGGATGAGCATCATATCTGTCTTTTACCAGAACTCCCACCTAGACCAGCTTGTTCAGATATGATACCCACCCCTTAAAGATCCTCTAGTAAAAAGTTTGGATTTCTTGTGTTAATGATTTGATTATGTGTAAGCTGGAGAGAGTGGCAGTCTGTTGGCTCCTCCTTGGTAGGTTTTAGTCAGAGAAGATGTAAAAGCTTGGATTTGAGATGCTCTCATATAGAATCATAGAATGGTTTGGATTGGAAGGGACCTTTAAAATCATGTAGCTCCAACTCCCTGCTATAGGCAGGGACACCTCCCACTAGAACAGGTCACTCAAAGCCCCATCCAGCCTGGCCTTGAATGCTTCCAGGGAAGGCGAATCCACAGCCTCGCTGTCGCAGTGTGTCACGACCTGCCCAGTAAAGAATTTGTTCCTAATATCTACTCTAAATCCACCCTCTTCAAGTTTAAAACCATTTCCTCTGTGTTTTTTTTACTTACAAAAAGTCCCTCCTCAGCATTCCTGTAGGCCCCTTCAGGTACTGGAAATCTGCTGTGAGGTCCCCCCAGAGCCTTCTCATCTCCAGGCTGAAGAGCCCCAGCTCTCTTGGCATGTCCTTGTAGGTGAGGTGCTCCAGCCCTCTGATCATCTTCATGGCTCTCCTCTGGACCTGCTCCAACAGCTCCCTTACTTTCTTGCACTGGGGGTTCCAGAACTGGACGCAGTACTCCAGGTGGGGTCTCACGAGAGCATATATCCTATCATATCATGCTTTTGTTTGCTGGGACGGGATTTGCCATCACGTGTCTTTCAAGTCCGGGCCTATTCTGAACGTTTGAGACAAGTGTCTTGTCATGTTTAAATTGCCCCTTTCCTTTTGGATTGCGTTTCTGTGAGCACTCCTGTTTCTGTCAGTCAGTCCGTGAATGAGCAATGTGGAGGTGTTTGAGAAGTACCTGGAAAAATATGGAACTGGCTCTCAGTTAATTTTCCTGATTGTACTGAAATATGTGAGTAATGATCAGCTGAAATATCTTATTTTTCTTAATTGCTGCAAATTAATATCTTGACTCATCCTACAAGTCTCTGGTCTGCCTTTCTGACACGTTGGTGGTATCGGTGTCCCTTGACAATAGGTGGAATGCATTTTATATCCATGTGCTGTAGTATATCTTGTCACTGGAAATGGAAGATGACCCTCTTAAGAGGAGGGAAAGAATTAATTGTTTTAATATTTGGTTGCTTTCTCTTAAAAGACATCTTAATATTTTGGCAATTTGGAAGCCTAGATGAAACACTGCTCTTAAGTTATAAAAGCTGGCATCGCCTCCTCATGAATATTAGTTAGATTAATAAGCCTCTCTACCTCGTTACCTTGGGGGCTCTGCCAATTAGCTGTTAACTGTCTGATAAAAGATTGTGGTACTTTATGTTGTTATTTTGATTTACTGATCTTTTTTTTCAGATGAATATATCGCCAGTAGCTCTTGCTCGTATGTATGAAGAAGACTTTAAACAAGACATGGCATCGTTAAAGGTACAGATACGTGAGCTGCTGCATTTTAGAATCTTTCCAAGCACTTATTTTGGTCAGGAATCTGAATTTGACAGTTTGATCTGAGGGGAAAAAAAACAATTGGTTGCTTGTCTTATGAAGTGTTGTTCAGTGACTGGGTAGTGTTTTACTTTTTCATTCTTCTGAGAAGACAAAGGCTTTGTATTGCACATCTTTTGTGTTAAGAATGGGAAAGGAAGCAAACCTTGGGTATTCAGAGAGGGGGAATAAACAAGTTAAATTTATAAAGGAACACAGACTTTCTGCTCTGTGTAATAAGATATTGATTCATAGATAATATGTGTTTACTGTCATGCAGAAATATCCAGACCTAAAGTATATAAAGCATCTAATATTCATTCTTTGATTGCAGATGACTTTGCTTCTTGTCCAGAAGCAGGGAGTAAGCCTCTGGTGAAAGCTAGCAGATTTATTTATTTATTATATCTGTCTCTTCCTCAATTTCTTTTTAATATTATCTGCATCTTAAGTACTTCTTGTGACCTTCTTATGATATTCACAGGGGTTTTTTGTTTGTTTGTTTGTTTTGCTAAGATAAAGATTAGAACAGATGTTCTTTAAAGTCAGTTTCATAATTTGGAGTGGCTTGTCAGCAGTGCATTACGTGTGGGTTGATGAACTGTTACAATTTCTTTACTTAAGGTCCTTCCTCCGACAGTATATATGAGAGTGACTGAAAACATTCCTCAGATAATTTCCTTCATAAAGACAATAATTGCTAACGGGCAGGCTTATGCAACTTCACAAGGTAAGATTTGTAGCAAGGCAACTCGCATGCATGGAAAGCAAGCACTCAAAGGGATCCTGTTTTGGGGTCAGATGAGATATGCTGTACCAGATTTTCCTTATGTTGGTTATCGTGGTGTGAGCAACTTGCTCATTACAATGCAACTGTGCAGAACAACTCTTGAGTCAATATCTAAACAAGAAGTAATTCAATACTGAACATAAATGTTTATTGTAATAAGCTGCTGTTTCAGCTCCTGTGGGGAAGTCCTGGCCTAGGTTTTTGAGGGAGCTGGGGGTTAGTTCTGTTAGCTCTGAGCAGGATTTGGACATCTCCTATGTACTGTAAAAGTCATACCTGCAAACAGCATGTGGGAAATTTTTAGTAGAGCTGATGCTTGTAGAAGAGTGTTAAGTGTATTGTAACAGGAACAGTATAGGTAATGCTTCAGTTGTGGGATGGATCACTTGTCCTGGGAAGAACCCAGGAGGATCTCCAGAAAACAATGTTATCTTCAATGCAAAATGAGTAAATTAGGTTACTGGAAAGCTAATAATAGGGAGATGTGGGCTGCTACTGCTGTAGCATTTCTGAATTTCAAATGGAAGTCCAAGGGTGTTTTATTCTGCTTTTGTGGAAATGTTGTCTCCATTGTATCAACAGTGAACATTCCCCATCTTTACTGTGAAGCTAAATATTTCTTTTCTATTAGGCAATGTTTATTTTGATGTCAAGTCTTGGGGAGAAAGGTATGGAGTATTAACTGATGTTTCTGCTGATACACAAAGTGAAGCAGGTAAGTTCTTGGTAGCAATTTGTGTTAATGCTTTGTCTGAATTCATGATGTATTGATATATAAACCTTCATTCAACAGTCTGAAGCAGTTTTTTAACTTGTATATAGACAGCTTTTTCAGTTAATCAGAACATCATTGTTTTAGTAGTTACTTACTGGGGTGTTGCCAGTGGAAGAGGAAGCTTAGTGGTGTCTTTTTATGCTTGTTTTTCTCTCCATTTTTGTTCCAGTACCTTAAAACAATTGTGATTCTGAATTTTATTTAAATCCTTGGAGCAATACGTACAGACTGAGTAGTGAGGTGATGCTCTCAGCCCACACACTGGGCAGCAGTGAGGATTGGCAGGGAGAAACATCACCTGCCTTGTTACAGTTGTGCAGTTGCGTCCTACTGGTGTGCACTAACCAGATGCATCCACATCTTTCATTGCTTACCATCACTGTCAAGCAGAATGATTGTATGAGCTCTCTTGGTGGGCTGTGGTAACATACACCTGTACCCTTGGTTGTATTCTATTTTTGCTGCAGTTTTGCTGAGCAGGATTGCTGATCCTCTCTGTAGTTTCTGTAAATCAGCTATGGTCAAGTCTCTGTGTAGGAGAATTTAAGACAGATCTTCTGCATGCTTTGTGTGCTGAAGTTCACTGTGTCTTCATTGGAAATGTTCTGTTTGCAATTCCTGAGAATGCCCAGGAGGTGATATTCAAGTGAGCTGCAGCCGGAAGCTTTTTTACAGCTTTGCTTTGGAGTTGTATCATTAAAGCACACAAAGGGGTTGTGTTATAGAGCAGTTCCTGACAAGCTGAAAACATCTCCCTGACTAGCTGCAGGCACCTAGTAGCATAGGGGTCCCCAGTGAGTATGGCTAGGGACGTGCTGTGTTTCACTGCGCTGTTAAACCTGCTGCCTTCACAGGGTTTCTGCATACAGTATTAACAAGAGTGTAGTTGGGCAGAGGATACTAGCAGTAGGTTGTGGAGTTTCTTCCCTTGAGGGTGCTCACAGTTCCACAGGATGTGACCCTGAGTCTCCTGCACTGAGCAGGTGGTTGCACAAGACATTCTCCAGAGGTGCCCCTGAGCCTCAACCGCTCATGTTTTACCTTGTTTCCCTTCAATTCACTTGCTACTAAATTTACTCCAATCTCTGAAGATTCTGTGCCTGTTACTGAGTTTATAACCGAGTAGACAAAGAGTGATTTTTTTTTGGTAGAAATATACTGAAAAAAATCAAGAGAGACATGGAGTCAACAGGCACAAATCAGCCAGGGCTTGGCAAGATAGTGAAAGAGCCAAGGTGAAGATTCACTAGATAAAACTTGGGCTGTGTTTCTATCCTTTATTTCTTATCAATTTTGAATAATAAAGCAGGTGTAATGGATTTTTGTAAAGTGCTTTACTTAATATTGCATGACATTCTGAATTAAAACTGATTCTATGTAATATCAATAAAGTGCAATTAGAATAGATTGAGAAAAGTGAACATCTGAGCTCCAAAAATATATTGGTGCTGGAATGATACAGGGATGAGATTAGACCATGTCATGCACAGTGTTTTTGTTAGTGATCTGGTAGAAGCAGAGGAAAGAAGTAAATCTAACTTCTATCTGCTAATAAAACAGATGAACAATGTTGAGTATTGAAGGATTTTTTTTAATTCTGCTGCTGCAGTGTAACCTGTTTGTCCTAGGAAACTGGTTGATAAGTAAGCGAATGAGTGATACAAGAGTGGAGAAGGCCAAAAGGATTGGAAGGATTGGATGTATTGAAGACTCTTACATCCAGATGCTTATCCATCTTCTTAGCCTGCAGAAATCAGATTCAACATAATATATAATTTTTTTTTAAACAGGACGAGAAGACTGGAAACCCAGTATAAGCAGGAAAAGAAAAAAGATGGAGGAAAAGCTGGGCAAAGAGAATAAAATCTGAGTGGTTCTCTAAGCATGCAATTCTACTTTCATTTGTTCACTGTGTCTTTCTGAGGCATGTCCCATTAACCACTCTCTTTTCTGTGGCAGTTGATACGGATAAGCGGCACGATAGAGATTTTGCCCTGTGGAAAACTGCCAAACCTCAAGAGTTATCCTGGAGTTCTCCCTGGGGAAAGGGAAGACCTGGGTGGCACATTGAATGCTCCACGATATCAAGGTCAGATTTCTTGTATTTAAAATCCATTGTCGTTTCTTGTTTTCAGTTACAGTGCAATGGTAGCAGCAGTGCTGCTTTTTTCTTCTCATCAGTAGAAAGAAGCAATTTTAATCTATTTGCTGCAGTTTGGGGGATTTTGAGTGTGGCACAAATCTTCCTCCTCCACCTTGATGGAGCAGCATCTGGTTTTCTTTTGTCACTTTTCTCTCAAAAGCATTTAAAATAAGCCATGCAGGATCACATAATTGATTAGGGAGTCTTTTAGCTTCAACTGAGTAACCAGCATTTTCATAAAAGTTACAGTGTGTCTTTCATCTGTCTTCCACTTCTTGCAATCCATAGCGAACCTGGTCAAGTCTGTGGTGCAGTATGAGGAGGACAGGGCCTGGAATTCCATCCCAGCTCCACTGAACATAGAAGATTTTGCTGGCCTCGTCTTAGCAGCAGTTGTGGATGTGTGTGCTAATTACATCTCTCATTACACAGCTTTCTTTAAAAGTCAGCTGCAGTTTTACATATTCTGTTTTCTTTGTGGCAGTATATTCTGTGAGCATGATGCAAATTGTGCATGGTAGCAGTTTGTTTAGAGCTGGTTTAAATTAATTTGCTCTTAATTTGGAATTTTGCTTTATTTACTCCACAGGATAGTAGTACTTTGTTTAGTGCAGTTCTAATTTATGACCGATTAATTTGTGTTTAGAAAAGACTCTTTAACTCTTTTCATCCTGAAAGATTGATGATGGTACTTAGTTTTCATTACTCTCAAGTCTTCTTTGGAAGCTAATAAGAAATTATTGAGACCTGAGCTGGTTTCTCTTGAATGTTTGGAACCTAAGCTGAAAGCATGTGGAACAACTGCTTTAGTTTTCTCTTCCACAGGCTGTGCTGGTATACCTAAGGTTGTTAGTAATTACTGCTTGATAGTGAAAAGCATTTAGAAAAAGAGATTTTATGTCACTAAACAATTTCTGCACTATGGAACAGCGCTTAAAGCAACTGAAGTACACAGAAGTGTGCTGCATTTGAAGTGCAGCCTGTGACACAAGTGCACTCCAGATAAGAAATAACAACCCTTTACAAAATTGCGTATCTGCTATTGTGATGCTACTTAAAGTATCTGTCTCCTTCTGTAAAAACTTACCTTTGCTGTGTCTGGATGGAGCTCTCGCCGTGGAAATAGATGTAGAGTCATGCAGAGAGTGTAAGTGTAGTAATCTGGGACTGTGGAAAATGGGAAGCTTAGACTTTTAAGTTATGTAAAGTGTTTTGCTGTCACAGTCGGCTGTCAGGTTCTAATTTTAAGCAATAACTACTTGTCTGTTTTTGCCGAAGATCTCTAAGCACTTGGAGCTAGGTGAATTAATTTTGAAATATCTTTGACGTGCATGTGTAGGAAGGTGACAGAGGAGCAATGGTCACTGGTGTGGTCCTGCAGAAGGGAACCATCTGATGTGACTTTGATCTGGTCTCCTTTTTGGAGCTTCACTGACAATGGGATGCGCTGTGCTTCCACAGGCAAGATGAGGTCTCCAGAAGTCCGTGCTTAATCTGATTTTCAAGCAGGCAGAAAGAAGCAGAGAGGCACGGGCTTTCAAAATGGCTACAGGAACACTGTCTTCCTCTTCTGATTTTCTTACCTTCTTCTGCCCCAACTGAGGTGGTTTAAAAGTGTATCAAACTGTACAGATTTATGTCTATAAATCCCTGAAAGAACAGCGCACAGAGAACATAGCCAGGCTCCTTTCAGTGAGACCCCATGCCAAGACAAGAGGCTGTGGACACAAACTGGAATGTAGAGGCTCACTCTGAACACCAGGGGTACTTCTGCACTGTGCAGATGATGGAGTGCTGCAGAGGCTGCACAGAGGCTGTGATGTCTGCTCTGAGGGTCTCTAGCAGCCGCCTGGCCGTGGCCCTGGGCATCCTGCTCTGGATGGCCTGACAGGTACAAAATAGAAGAATGGTAATACCAAATCTGAGGAAGCAGTTGTCACTGCAGTTGTTTTGCCTGCAGATGAAGGCAGCTGTCTGATACCGTAGCAGGACAAGGAAAGGAGATGTCCTGCTTATCATTCTTTAATCTAAATTAGAAAAAATAATCATTCCTGCCGAGGAAAACTCACTGTGGGCAGATATGGTCGTGCTCATACACATAGTTCTGCTGCAATTTTGATTTCCAAGATCTGATCCAAGATCTATCCAAGAAAAGTTCTTTCTTGACATTACATTGCAGTCATTAAATAACATATTTATATTGCTTCATCTTTTTTTTTTCTTTTTTACCACAAGTTTTTGTAGTGTTCTACTTACCGATCAGGAAAATATTGTTACAGTGCAGTGTTTGGAAAGCAGCTGGACATCCATACCGGTGGGATAGATCTCGCATTTCCTCATCATGAAAATGAAATTGCGCAGTGCGAGGTGTATCATCAGTGTGAGCAGTGGGGGAATTATTTTTTGCATTCTGGTAAGTAAAGTATTCATCACCTGATGATATGGACATGAGGCATGTAGAGCTCTAGGGAACTTTATTTTATTTTTGTAGTTTTGCCATTTCTGTGGCATGAAACATGAGGGAAACTTTACAAATAGATGCTGTACTACAGTGGCCGGGTTCTGTCCTCACTAAACAAAGAAGCATAAATGAGAGTGAATCTTGGAATTGTACAGTGAACGCCTTTATTTATGAAATAGTTACGGTGAAATAGTGAAATATCATCCAAATCAGTCTCCAAGTTATAACAGTGTGTGCATTACCCACATACAGTATTTACTCCCAATGAAAAGTGTGGAAAGAGGAGTTCTTCCTGCAAAGTCTCTTTCATTTGAATTTCTCCAGAATTTTTATGCTTATGGTAGAGTTTCTTTTCAAATTTCATTTTGGTTATAACAGTCCTGCAGAAAGGGAGTGGAAATAATTGAGCTTTTCTGCATGTTCTTCTGAAAGTAGAAATTCCTGCTGTCTTAGAGATAGAACCTTCAGTATCTGGAGACGGATGAATGAAGGTGCCAGATAGACAGGTAACTGATCATAATATTTTAAAAGCTTTGAAACTGGAATAAACCACTCCAGTTCTCCAATCTGTCTCAGTACCAGTTGCTTGTGGGCGTGAAAGGAAGTTTTTAAGTAGAGTGCTGAGCTAAATAGTAAGTCTGGTAAAAGGCTTTAATAATGATAGGGAAAAGACATCGTACTACTGGAGGATGAGAACAGAGTGGATGCAAAGCTGCACGAACCAACGAACCAACCAAGCTCACAGCAGTGATCCTGCAGACAAGCATCTCGGTTGAGATGTTTTGCATGGTTTGAAATGTGGGGAAAACCTAACATATTCTCTAGTGACTAATAACTGCAAGTTTTGAACGTGTGATTCACATATCTGTAACTATGTAAATTATCCTGAGAAGCTCTTATAAATATATTCCTCTCTAAATACTCCAGTAGCATTATATTGAGTGATGAGTAAGACACAGAATTAATAATACTGAGGACTGAGTGAGTCAGACACTTTGGTTGAGTCTGCTCAGGCACAATTGAAGAAGTTGCTGCTGGGAAGGTAGAAGGAGGTATGTAACACTTATGGGCTACATCTAGACCGAGTCACTCACCCCTCCCAGAATCACAGAATGGCCTGGGATAGAAAGGACCTCAAGCATCATGAATCTCCAACCCCCCCACCACAGGGAGGGCCACCAACCTCCATCTACATTTATTACTAGACCAGGCTGCCCGGGGCCCCATCCAACCCAACCCATCCAGCCCTCGGTGTTGTGGAAGAGCAGAGGCAGTGAGGCATGTCACCGTAGTCCCTTAACCCTCCTCACTGGTGCCCAACTCTCTGCCTATCCTATAGAGAGTGACTGACTCAACTTGACCTTGGTCTTGGTGTATTCTCTACATATCTGTCGTCTTCCCCCAGAAGTGACCTCACTGCTCACACCTGACTAAATTATGCCAAATTGTCTTTTACTCACTCAATCTTTGGCATTATGATATTGCTTGGTGTTGTGTAAAACTGTTCCCTGCCACCTCATATGATGTCCTTCAGTGAAGATTCTGCTGCAAAGTGCTCTGAACTACATCATTTTATGATCATGCTGGTGTTGTTGTTCTGCTAGAAACCTTGAAGTTCATACTTCCTGTTGTAGTTGCAGTGGTTCTGGATGGTTTTCAAAGTACTGAAGGCAATAGAAAATCAACTGCAGTCTATGTTTTCTCTTCTTACTGAGCAATACTTTGTGCAACATCTCTTGTTGAAGTTTTTGGGTTACTTGTTTGAGCACAAGTTGTGCAGCCTATGGTACACTCTGGGAATTAGTCTGGCTTTTTTTTTTTGTGTGTGTGTGTGTGTGTGTGTGTGTGTGTGTGTAAATATGTATCTGTTTGTACAGTTTGGGATGAATTTTAAATTCTAGTTTCAGTTCCCAATGCAGAGCCTGTTACAAGTCAACAGAAATTGTCCAGAGGCTGGTGCATCCTCCAGGGTGTGCTTTACTCCTGCCGTGCTGGGGATTTCTCTGTGCTTCTACTGAGATGCACTGCCAGCTGAAGCCTTCTGCTAAACAAAGCAGTCAGTCCGAGTTGTTGAGCTTGGACTCATCACTACAGGGGGAGTATTCTTTGAAACACACTGAAGAGGATTGAAGATTTCTCAGAAAAGAAAAAACAGAAAACGTTGATTGCAAGAGCAGTTTGAATGCTGAGGTTCTGTAGGAGCTGACGGATTGCGTTCATTAATTCAAAAAAGTTTTGCTGGAGGACGATAGCATGAATTATTTAAGGCAAACGAACCAGCTTCAGAAACAGTTTATTCTGGTAACAGACTTCAGAATTTTAGCAGGCACAGAATTGGAGGAGCAATCCCCATTAGAGGCAGAAAATCCCCTGCACCGGGGATAAATCTTCTTATAAGGACTTTATTTTTAGACTGCTTGTACTCTGGGAAAAGCTCCAAGCCAAAGTTATGAAAATCCTTATATTTTGTGATTCTTTAATGAAATCATTCTCTTTAAGTACTGAAACACTTGAAGAGGAGTGTTATTTCAAATTCAGATGTTACTGATACTTTCCTAGGAAATCATGGCCAAGTCCTTTGAAATTTGGCTGCCAAAAGTTAAGTCAGTCAATATTTAGGCAGCTTTAGAGAAGGAAAAAAAAAAAAAAAAGAAAAATCACACCCAAGCTATTCCTTTTCCCTTCACAAAAGTGTCTGTTGATTTTTACTGGAGTCATTAGAGCTGCAGGTGTGCAGTATTTCTGGCAGTCCACATGTTTTTGCTTAGGGCCCTAAGTTGAACTGTGTAATGAAAATGCCCTCGCCTGGTAGCAGCCAGGGCAAACACGATGGAAATGAGGTTTTGATTGACTTGTGCATTTTTCTTGTAGCTGGTTCTGGATCTATGGATCCCCTGATCTTTTGCTACCCTTGACAGAGGGTATATTTCTCTTCTATCTGATGAACTCCCCAAGGCAGCAGACGAGGAGTCGGTTCTGATGGAAGGCCTTCATGGGGGCTGGTCAGAGTCATGCCTACATGAAGGTGTGGTGAGCAGCATTAGCATGCAGCCCTTGTTGCCATGCAGACGTGCTCCTTGTTGCCTGGAGTGCTCTGGAGATGCCAGACTTTGGAGGCTGTGGCTGACAGCCCTGTGTCCTTGGTGGGGGCACAGCTGAGAGCTGAACAGGGAAACACAATTTAAGGGTAGAAGATCTGGATGGCCACCTTGCGTTGCCCGGATGTTCCCCACAGCCTTCACTAGCTCCTCTTTGAGCAGACTCCCAGATAGCATTTTTGACTTTATTTCCCAAATACAATATTCCTCACAGGCTTTTTTTGTACGTCTTCAAGCTGCTGTCAGATTTTTAGATGTAAGTATTAGAAGGAACACTTGTGCTTTCAGAAAGCAGCTTCTGAGAAGCAACTTGTAAAAACTACCCTTTGCTTTTCAAAAACTTGCTCTGTGCTATCTTTTAAAACAGAACTTTAGGAAACGCAGATCTGAGTGTCTTCCTTATCCTGTCTAATCCATTGTGATGACCAGCTATTTGCACAGTTTTGGTAGATTAAGTTTTGGAATTGGCAATGTGCAGAAAATTGTACGCACAAGGTATTTTGTATCAATATAATACAGTTTTGGAATTTTAAAAAAAAAAAAGGTAGTGTGATAGCCACCAGCAATTATTACATATTAGAAAAATGTCTGGGTCTCCAGGGTATTGTGCTATCACTGGGCTACCTTTGAAAGCCTTAAAATGTTTCTGGAAAGTGAGGGGTGAGGTACTTTTCAGTGAAGAATGAAGGATTCTTCCTTGCTTGTTTTTTTGTGTTTTTTTAAAAAAATTTTTAAAAATCTATTATCAGTTCAATTAATGAGGACTTTGTTATTTCTTTATTAATGTTTCTATTCATACCCTGGTTCTTCATTGAATAACATTTTCTTCTGTTTTATACTCCACCCAGCTAGAGCTGAGAGTGGGGAGATGTGCAGGACTGCTAGCAACAGTTATGAACAATAACTTGTGCATTGCATTGAGATGGTTGGCATGCATCTGCTGCCTCCTGTGACTCCAGTGTCTCAGTGCAGAGATTTTTCTTGTTCAGTGTCCATTCAGAAGCACACTAACTTATCCTGATGCATTTGTTTTGTTCTAGGGCATTTACACGTTAAAGGAAGTCAAGAAAAAATGTCTAAGTCGTTAAAAAACTACATAACAATCAAGGTAATCTATATGTGTGTGTTGGAGAAATGTGTATCCATAATATCTAAATACTAACCACAGTCTTATTTTGAGAAAAGATGTGAGCATGTGCTTATACTGCAGGGAAAGTGAAGCAGAGTGGTTTTTTTTTCTAGTGCTAGTGCACCTATTTGAATGCAGGAAGCCTGCTCTCACAGAATCACAGAATCACCCGGGTTGGAAGGGACCTCAAGGATCATGTAGTTCCAACCCCCCTGCCTAGCAGGGCCACCAAACATACACATTCAGATCAGGTTGCCCAGGACCCCGTCCAACCTGGCCTTGAACACGTCCAAGGAGGGGCATCCACAACCTCCCTGGGCAGCCTGTTCCAGGGCCTAACCACTCTCCTTGTAAAGAACTTCCCCCTAACATCCAACCTAAATCTTCCCTCCTTCAACTTGGATCCATTTCCCCTAGTCCTGCTGTTATCAGCCCTTTTGAAGAGTTTACTCCCCTCCTGGGAGTTTAGTCCTGGTTTACTCCCCTCCTGCTCTCACTCAGGGATTGTTCCTAACTTGGATCTGGCTGAGCTGAGAGCACGTGGGACCATAAATACTGGTCTCCTGTCTCCTTTATTATATTTTTCTTGTTGTCGCTTCCTTGCTGATGCATGGAGAGCTTTAATTGCCACCGGGCCGCGTGACTATGTCCTCTTCTGGTGTGTCAGAGAGAGGGAACCCTTAACCAGAGAGAGTTCAGTGATTCAGCAGCTTCTGGGTTATCTTTTTTTCCATGAAAGTCCATGAAGAGGTTGAGCTCAAGTTTGTGGTGCAGCACGGAGCAGGGTTTCTGTGTCACCACATCTGTGATGCACTGTACGTAACACCAACATGGCTCCAGTAATAGCTGGCACCTATTGTTAGAAGCAGGTAATTTTCTTCCTTGAGACAAAGCTTTAGAGGCAGTTTCAGCACATATGTTCCCCTCTGGCCCTTGGAAAACTAGTTACAATCCTTTTAAATTGGCGTGAGCTGCTTTATTCTTAATTCTCCTCATCTTGTCTTGTCTATACAGTTAAGCCCTGTCTCCCCCAGCAATATTGTCCGTTGCTCACAGTTTTCACAGCACTTTCCTGTGTCTGAGCAGACGGTGTAGGCAGGACAGAGAAGTGACCATTAATGCAACACACACAATGAAAAAAAAGTATGGAAATGTTCCCCTCTATTTTTGCAGTGGCGTTTCTTTGCATAGAGGAAAGTGCTGTGCAGGAAGCAATTGTAGCAATGTGCTTCACAACAAAAAATTCAACATCAGCTCTCTTCCCATGCTGGTCTCGTCTTTTAATTTCACAATTAGACATGGTTAGCAAGTATTAATCCTCTCCCGCAAGTAACTTGCAGCCCAGCGAACCGCGTTTCTTCCCATGCGGCCTTCCTGCATCCTGGGCATTGAGCCCTGCGTGGAACTTTGTGAGTGTGCTCTGAACAATTCGCGGCCTCCGATGGTGCCGCCGGCTTTTCCTTTGTTGGGGTGGCAGAGGAGCACAGAGCACATTCCTGGCAGGCACTGAGGCATGGCTCGCCTTTCCTGCTGCCGCGCTGATGCTCTCTGTCCAGCTGCGCTATTTTTCTTCCCCCTTCTCCCTTTCTGTGTGTTTCTTTCTCGTGTTTTAGTCTTGTTTTCTTTAATGGCTGTTAATTCTGACCTTCAAAATCAAGTGCTTAGTGGTGATACACAGCCAAGCCACCCGCTTTGGGAGATCTATGGTACTTTCTCCATGTTCTGTTTTTAATGAAATACAGAACTGATTTCTAGAAATTCCCTCCCGAATTCAAAGTTTTCCTCATTAGAATTTATTTTCTTGTTTTAGTATTATTGTTTTCCTTCCACATATTAGCATTCAGGAGATTGAAGTGCTGGAGCAGATCCAAAGAAGGGCAATAAGGCTGCTGATGGGCTTGGAGAATATGCCTTATGAGACTGAAGGAACTGGGGCTGTTCAGTCTGGGGAAAAGGAGCTGAGGGGAGACTTTATTGCTCTCTTCCAATATCTGAAAGGTGCTTACAGAGAGAGCGGGGCTGGTCTCTTCTCACTGGTGACAGGACGAGGGGAAGTGGCCTCAAGTTGTGCCAGTAAGTTTAGATTGGATATCAGGAAAAACTTCTTTGCAGAAAGGGTTGTTAAGCACTGGAATTGGCTCCCCAGGGAGGTGGTGGAGTCACCATCTCTGGATGTGTTTAAAAACCATTTGGATGTGGTGCTCAGGGACATGATTTAGCAGAGGGCTGTTAGAGTTAGGGTAGGATGGTTAGCTTGTGGTTGGACTCCATGATCTTTAAGGTCTTTTCCAACCTGAGCGATTCTGTGATAAAGCTTCTGAGAGTGCCAAGCACATCAAGTTACACAGTTGATTTTAAAAACAGCCATTTACTATTGCAATCTGTTTCTTGATTTAGCTTGCCCTGATTGCCTCTGTTGCTTCTATTTCCACTTGAGAGATTGCACAGTGCTGATATGCTGCCCTCCATGCTCAGGCTTTTTGATGTTTGGGCTGCTAGCAGAAGCTAAATTTCAAAAACTACACCTTTAAGCAAATGGCATTTCCACATTTTCTTACTTGCACTGACTTCACCCTATGATTTTGTATTGGCAGTGGTGCTTCAGTGTTACAAACTTCCTATCACTGATTTTCAAATTAAAAATCAGGAAAGCAGTGGCAGTTAATCGTCCACCTTGTCCAACCTTCTTGCTGAGAGCGGAGCTGCTGAGTGATTGAATGTCTTATCAGTGTACCTTCCACGCATTTAAATAGCTCTTTGTAGGGGTAATAAATTATTTTTAAATAAGTAGATAAGCAGTAGGGTGAAATTAATGAGGTTTCGCAGCCAGCATAGATAAATTCCAGCAATATATATATGTATATTAAAAAAGAGTTATTTTTATTCACTCAGTTTTCTTTCACATGCTCCAGAAAAGTTGCCCTCTTGTTCCAGTCTTTCATAAGCTTTGCAAAACTTGGTAGCTGTCCTTTCCTGCGAGGTCACATCCTAGTTTTGGTCTGATAGCTTTGGTTTGTTTTCTGCAGAAGTCTTTATTTAATGCACAGTTGATCATAATTACAAAATATTTATCAATGCCGTATATTCATGCTTGGGATTTCATGTATATTGCTGTCTTCTACCTATGTATACTCATCTGTGTTACATGTACGTGGCAGTAGACTTCAGTTTAGACGTTAGACCAGATCACTAATTTAAAGTTTTAATCCTGTCTTCAAGTATGATTATGGGCTTTTTGTAAAGCCTGTCTGCCTGAAATGTGCTGTAAAACTAGTGTGACAGGATTGAATAGCAGACTGAGAAACGGGTTGCTGTGATGCTAATGATATCATCTTTTTAGGAATTTCTGAAGAAATTCTCCTCGGATCAGTTCAGGATGTTCTGTTTGCGCAGCAGATACAGCTCAGGTAAGAAGAAGGTGCGTGTGGTTCATCGCACTGCTCCCAGCCTGGATTTCCAGGGGTGTTTTGGAGCTCTCACCTTGTGGCTGGAAATGTTCCCTGCCCAGAGAAGCAATGGCAGCACAGTCCCTGGAAGTGTTCAAGGCCAGGTTGGGTGAGCCCCTGGGCAGCCTGATCTTGTGCCTTACATAATGGTTGGCTGCCATGCCCAGGGCAGGGAATTGGAAGTGGATGATCTTTGATGTTCCTTCCAACCCAAGCCCTTCTGTGATTCCCTGTGGGATTACTCCTAAGCCAACATTTAGAAAAGCATCTTTACCAAGGGCAGTGCTTAACTGTTTGTCTAAATACCTTCCTTCCTCATGGGAGGAAATAAAGTGTGCATGCTCCAGTGGTGCTGGGCTGCAGCTGGGGGCATGTGGGAGTCTCGTGTGAGTGTGTTACTGAAACAAAGGATGAAGGAAAAAGGCTTAGGACTTACAGCACTATCACACATGTATTTATTCTGTAAGCAGGAGCTGATGTCTGGGTTGCCTCCAAGGTGAAGAATGACACTGAGCCCTGGGAGGGCCCGCACATCCTTCTCTGCTGCTCCTGAACTGCTTGCATCTGGACGCGTATGAGAAGGATGTGACAATTCTAAGTGGTTAAATGTCTTCCTGTGATAAAAGCAGAGGGCTACCTTGTAAATCCAGGCAGATTTGATAACAGGAAGTGGTGGTGGTGTATTGGAATACAGTGCCAATATGCTGCTCGGTAGATAAGAATTGCTGGAAGGTCTGCAGTCCTTGTCAGGATATGATGCTGATGGCACGACCTATGTCAGATAAGCAGGCAGAGTCAGGTACTTGTTATGCAGTTCGTCAGCAAATGTCCATGCCATCAGCTCAGTTCTGCTCAAAGATAAGTTTACTTCGTTCCACCTTGTCTTGCTGTCTGCTTCCAGAGTGATTTTATCAGAAATGAGATCCCAAGCACCTCCTCTTTGTTCTTGAAAAGGTTTCTGTAGCCTAAACCTATTTGTGATGTTTCCTGCCATCCCAGACTTTGAAGGAGGATGTGTTATCCTTACTTGAGAATGGGCTTGGGGAGCTGGGTGCTATTAACAGTCTCATCAGGGTGAGCTCATGAAAGGCTTTTAGGAGCACTCTGGTGAGACCAGTGTCCAAGAGCACTTCTCTGGAACGTGGAGGTGGTGTCCACCAGAATAAAGCTCCTCTGTGGAGATCAGACTGTGTTCCCTGGGGCTGGGCAGGCACCTACACGGTGTCACTTTGTACTGCAGACATTGGCATTACTGAGCAGTAGAAGCACACAGCTTAGAGACGTGGCCAATGAAAATGGTTTGACATTGACGTGGCCTGTGGAAAGAATTGTGCTGCAGTTTGGTATTGCAGCAGTGGGCACATAAGTGGGGTTGGCTCCTCTTCTCAAGGGAACAGGTAGAAAATGCTGGGTGGCTCTTCCACGTGTGCTTCTTCCACATGTGCTCCCTGCCTCCATCTCACCCTGTGTATCGATTTCCGCAGCGTGTTGGGGAGAAACAAGAAACAAGAAACAAGATGTTTACAGAAGAGCCAATGTGCTCAGCTGCTGATGCTGCTTTCATCAATGGTTTCTGGCCTCTGTGCTGTACTTACTGATTTATTCATTCTGAGGGCATCAGTCGCCCGCTCAGTACCCTGTGTTGTGGCAGCATGAAGCTGGATGCCTCACCTGTGCAGGAAAGCTGGAAAAGTCAGATGGAAAGGGCCTTGGTGCTAGACTGTGCTCTCCTCCTGGTGCCTGTGGGTGTCCCCTTCTTGGCGTAAATCATAGTTGGGTCCACGTAAGGCTGTTGGGAAATGGCCTTTCCTGAATGCAGCACAGTAAAAGCGCGTGGTGCCCTCAGCTGCTGCTGGGTGCAGCTGGTGGGGAGAGATGCTGTCCCTGCAACCCTGAGTCACTGGGTTTCCTCTTGCGTTCCATCACGTGTGGCTTTGCTCTCACTGTTGCTCATGGGCTGTGAAGCTGCTGTAAGCATTGGGGTTTGACCTCCAAAACCCTCTGCTGTTCTCTGGAACAGGCTTAAGAGATTTTCTGAGCTTGAATGGTGGTGTGCAGTGTGTGTGCAGTGCGTGGCGGTTCAGGAGAATGCCCTGAATCAGCAAAGAAGAATGGATTTAATCAAAGCTTCATCAGAATAAACTTCCATCAAGTATTCCCCTCAGAGCCCTGTAACCAGGGCGATGGGTTGAGTAATCATAGCGGATATCAATGATCTCTTTCAGTACCTCACCGTTCTCTGAAAGTCAGTACCTCAGCCTTTTAGAAAGCTTCATAAAGCTGAATTTTAAGACCAGCGTTAGTGGGACAGTAATGCAGATTTTTAATTGCACACAAGTGGAAAATCTGACAAACGCAGCGCAGGGTTATGCCTCAGCTCTCCTGGGCTGAATCCCACGGGAAGTGGGTCCGAACAGCTATGCCCCCCCAGGTATGGAGAACTGAAGTGATGTTACACTGTTTATGGCCCCTCAGTGGAAGTGACTGATGCTGACGTGGTGCTGTTGGAAGGAGCACATTTAGCACACTCAGCTCCCACAAAGCCTGCTGAGCTGACTGGCATCAGGCAGTGTGCTAGCAGTCCAGGTCAGCAGGGCTTAAAGGTCGGTGTGTGAGCTGGGTGTGATGGATCCCAGCATCCCAGCACAGGTGGGCCCTCATGAGTGCCACCGGTCTGTATTTTCTTTGGGAGTCACTTTAGCAAATGGGTACAGCTGGCTCAGCTTCGGCACTGTAGTTGGATTCTGCACTAGATATTTGATCCAGATTGCCAAGTCCTAGATTTGTTGGTGCTGGTGAAGCAGTCCTCTAACTGTGAGTGCCTGTATCCCTCACAAGGTCTGTGGCTGAGGGTTAGGTGCCCTTGGAGATCTCCAAAGACAGGTCTTGTCTGCCTAATTAGAACAGGAGTTTGGGGGGAGATCAAAGCTGTGTCCTCCTGGCTTAAATCTGGGGGGGATGATCAGAAATACATCACATCCAACACTTCAGTAGAGGAAAACGCTTTAAATCAGGTCGCTTCCAATCAGTGAGCTTCCAAACAGTATTCAAAACAGTCTGATTCTTTTTCAGTATGTTATACGTTGTCATATATAGGAATTGTCTTTTATGTTGATCTACATAATTTACTTATTGCAACTTAAGGATGGTGTCTAATTAGAAGTGCAGGTAATTTTAAGAAAAGCTTGCTGTGACAAAGAGTAACAAACATTTTTGCTGGATTGACTGTGTCAGAATATTGTGCCTAGGTGTGACAGCTACATCCTCTGTGTCATAATGCTCAGAGGTTTTGTTTTTCTTTTCTTAGCTGTAGAATTTAGTGATGAGACCATGAATGATGCCAAGAACATTCTCCAGGCAATCTCCTCGTTTATTAGAGACGCAAATGCTTATATAAAAGGACAGCTGGTGTGTGACCCTGTTAGAGAAGATGTACTGTGGGAAAGGTAAGCGTGCTTCTTTTATCTGAAGACTGTGATTATTTGCAATGATTTGCAAATTGCTGACAGGCTTAGAGGGCTGAACTCTGTAGCTTACTGAGTTCTATCGAAGAAGCAGGACAAGATGAAGGACTGAGAAGCAATCTTCCCTGCCACCCCTCATCTGGCTTTTTTCCTTCTCTTCCTTGCCAGCTGTTTTTGCTTGTAGTTTTCTATGCTTGCTTTATTGTGTCTGTGAAATCCTTGTTACTTATCTAGTATGCCTGACCTAATGTAGGTGTTTTTGCACCTCCTGACTGATGTAGAAGGAAAATCTGTGACTGAAGTTGTAAGGCTACTCAGGATGTCAGAAGGAATGTGTGTTAGTGACTGGACAGCTGGGAAGTAATGTGCCTTGGGCACGTGAGCTTGTAGTCAGACGTGCTGACAGCTTGGTGTGGGGCAGAGGGCAGAAGGATTGCTCAGAAACTGGCCGAGACAGATGTCATAAGGAAAGAAGTTATGGTTGTTGGGACCCTGACAGTGACAAGGAGAATATCTTTGGAATCTCTTACGAAAACTGGATTATCTCCCAGGAGAGAAAGATGTGGTTTCTGCAGGGTGTGAAACTGAGGAGTGTGGTGCTCTGGAAGCAGAGTAGGAAAGGCAGTGAATGCTCTGAAGCGACACATGTACAGGCAGCTCTGAGGCATGTTTTGAGAGGGAAGGGTGGTCTGTGCTGTAGAAGGGAGAGAGCTTCTTGGTGGTGCATGCATGTAGTTATTGAAGAGCTTGTGGCTGCACTGTGGCTCACGGGAAGCACTGAAGCATGCTACAAGAAGGGGAGGCTGAATTAACTGCTTGTAGTGTTTGACAGCTTCAGCTGGAGGCTATGGGACACTTGGTGGGGGATAAGGCTTTGAGGTGTGAGGCATGTAAGGAAATCAGAATAGATTGTCAGTGGAAAACGTAAGAGGGCAACGCTTGTGTATTTTTAAATACAAAGCCAACCAAGGTGGTACAAGGTTCATACTTTTGGTAAGAGGTAGATACTGAACAGAGAAGGGCAAAGTCACAGGGAAGAGCTTAGGGTGGGATGGGTTTAGGGTAGCAGCAATCTGATACCTGAGAGAGGCAGGCACTCCAGGCAAAACCACCCTGCAACAGGCAAAACAGGGAAAAGAGGAACCTCAGAAGAGCTGGAGTAGCTGGAGGTCCCCAGGTAACTGTGCTCCTTGGGCATTATTGTGAAACGGCCCCTGGGGTCAGTGCCTATCAGTGTGCAGTTCATCTGGCTTCCTACCAGAGAAAGCTGCCAGCACTGTTTGCAGCCCTGGTTAAGCTCTCCTGTCAAGTGCTGGAGCGAGGCGTGGGACGGGGCTTTGGAAGGAAAATGTGCCAGTAGCACAAAAAGTGGGCTGCTGGGGGGAAAAAGGGCTTAGCAAATAGTTGATGTGCTTAATATCAAGTGAATTTTCCATGTGGTTTTAAATGATTAGGCAAGCATTGCTCTACTGTTGCTGATTCCTTTGGTTAGTGATGTGTTAACTGAACAGGTTTAACACTTTGGATTTTGACAGGCTTCAAGTTTCTCCCTTTGCAGATGCAGAATGTGCTCTTTCCTGACCAGTGCAGCATCTCCCAGAGCAGCAAAGAAGGAAATGGCAGTGTCCTTTCAGTGACTCCATCTGGCTGAATAGCTGATGAATTCAGCATACTGCTGGCATCTTGTTTGTCTTATCTTAAATGTTGCCTCTCCTCTTTGCAGGCTGGCCAGCACAAAGGTAAACGTGAAGGCTGCGTTTGCAGATGACTTTGACACCTCCAGGGCTGTTGCAGCAATTATGGACCTCATTCACCATGGCAACAGACAGCTTAAGGCTGTTACTAAGGTAACCCATTAGGATACAGAGATCAGAAAATGACAGCTGTCCACTGTCCCACTGTTTAACGCAGACAGATTAGTTTATCGTTCACATAAAAAAAAGGCAGAAACAAAGCTCCATAAATTGTTGACCTTAATGGTACCCATTTGTCCTGACCGTGTAGCAGGAATTGTATATGGCTGTTGTTTATGCCTCGCTGTGGACAAAGTGTGTCTCTTTTGCTGCCCTCTATTATTTATACCTGAGGTTTTTGAAAGGCCTGAAGCTGTGGTGCCACGCTGCTAATTGCAATGCAGGCTTTATGGCCTTACCGCGCTTCTTTGCCTACTGTCCGTGCATAGAAATTGACCTGAGGGGGAGCAGGAGGTGGCTGTTCTGGGGGGCTGTGGCAGGCAGGCACAGCGAGCTGCAGGTGCATGCTGGTGCTTGAGCTCAGCTCTGAGCCCTCTGGAACGAGTCTGGGAGCAGCCCCACTCCTGAGGCTTCGCCTCCTAGGCAAGGGGCGCGGGCACTTTTCCTCCTTAACAACTGGGAGTGAATTCATGTGAACGCAGCTCGTTCCTCTTTAATCTTCTTATAATCCTTATCTCAGTTGGTACATTCCTGCCCCTTTTCCTCAGCGCTTCACATCAGCTCCTTCCAGTTCAGATCCTTTGCAATTTTCAGTTTGTGGTTCATCTCAGATCCTCCTGGAGATCCTGGATAAAGCCCAGTATCAGCTACTAATTTGGTTGTTTGTGTCTTTATTCTTTTTCTAGGCAAGCGTTAGTCCCTTAAATCTCTTCTCAATCTGTCACTTAATCTTGATCTTTTTTTCTTGAAAACTGAAATAAATGTGGAGGAAATAAATGAAGACCTCTGTTCTTAAATACACTGCTGGTGCTAGCAGGGTATGGCACAGCACCACAAGCAATCTCAGAGCAGTCTTGTTTAGATCAGTAAGACACTCAGCGAAGGTGGTGTGGTGTTGGTTTTTTTTTTTTTGTCATCTATTTTTTAGAATGCCCTTGAACCTGTAGTTCTGTTTTCATTTGGTTCTCGTGCGTGGAGCCCTTTGCACAGAGCACGTTTTCAGGCCTCATTCACTGTGCACACACCACATGCTGTGGTTTCATGCATCTCTTCCTCACTGTGCCTGCTGGTAACAGCCCCCCTGCATCCATGTGCATCTTTCCCCTTGGTGTTGTGTTGGGAGGTGGCTGAAGGTGCTTTCAGAGCTGGGTGGGTTTTACTGGTAGGGGTGGGACTGTGCCATTAGCAGTGGTTTCCCCTGTGGGCTTGGCTGTCGAGAGCTGAGTTCTGTAATGAGTATTGACCAGGCAATCTCTTCTGAGTGTTTCCTAACAGGATGTTGGATCTCCCAGAAGCTCGGTTGTGTACGGGAGCATTACCTCCTATATAGAAAGCTTCTTTAATGCCCTTGGGATGTCCTTTGAAGAAAGGCAGGTACGAAAATCCTCTTTGGGATGTGCTGGTGTGTAGTAACAGTGTCAGCATTATGCTCTGTGGAGCACTTGCTAAAAGCCTCAGAGGTAGCAGAGCTGTTTATGGCTTCAGTAAGCCTTCCTGCATTGCTTGTGGTTTCTGCTGTGGTGTGTTAGGAAAGCATCTGAGCAGGCAGAAAAGGATGAAGCCCTGAGGGAGCCTGTTTCTTCCTGTGGGTGTCCCTGTGTGACTTCTGCAGCTGTTGTGCTGTAGTAACGCATGCTTGAGGAATGAAATGAGGAAGTGGGCACTTGAAAGCCTTTACCTGAAAGCCTGTTATGTATGTGTTATGTACCTGGCTCTTCCTCTTTTTCTGATGATTGCATCCAGGACCTTTGCTGGAAATACCTCACGTATCTCCTGGTGCTTGGAATGGAGAGGGAGAACGGCTCATTCCTTCAGACTGAGCTGTCTGTAAGCGAGTGTCGCTGGATGTTTATTTTCACTGAACTCAAAGCACCTTAATGCTTTCCTTCTTTGTGTGCTGCATTGGTTTCTCTGGGTATCAGGGCCAGCAGACAGAGTTGGTGTGAGGTCGCCAGGTAGAAGAGAGGGCTCCCTGAGGTGGCTGCTGCCATGCTGACAAATGAGTGGAGAGGGAGCAGCACTTGGGTTGGGGGACTTGCATGCAGCCTGGGGGTCTGTCCTGCTCTTCAGATGCAATTCATTGGAGCTGGTGAGCCATGTAGTCTAACATAACTCCCTGTGCTTCTGCAGTAATCCCATTTCATACAGTCATCTGGGTGCAAGCTACCTTTCTCTATGGGTTAGAGAAGGAGCCTGGACAGCCACAGGCAGGTAGGGTGAATGCATTTTTGCACTTACGATGGATTTGACCAGACAGAAGTCTCAGTAGATGTTTCTCTTAGGCAGCCCTCCCAGTTACTGCTGGGCTTCTGGCCCATGCATGGAAGGCATCATTGCCTGTTTGGAGCTTGTCATAGAACCACAGAATATCCTGAGTTGAAAGGGAACCACGAGGACCTTTGAGTCCAACTCCTGGTTCCACACAGGTCCACCCAAAAGTTCTCCCAAGGATTCAGTGTTCCAGGAGTAACAGCAGGAATCATCCTCCATATGGGCCCCTTGAATTGATTGGTACTACAGAAGAAGAAAATTAAGCTCGGCTCTCAGAGCTCATGTGATGTTTTACATGGAAGATGAACTGATCTGATATTCAGAGCTGTCCTCCTTGGGGAGGATCCTGCCTTTGTGCCATGGATCAGTGCTTCCATGAACATCGGCAGCAGTGCCTGTGGAAGCATGCTGCTCAGCCCCACTCACCATTCATCTTTACTCTCCTTCACTTCTGCATTCAAGCATTTACTGTGCTCTTCTCCGTGCCCTCGGTTCGTGGCTCTTAAATTTAAATTTTTCAGTCCCATAAACTTCTTCTTCAGAATGTTTATCAGGAAGAAATTCTTTACTGTGAGAGTGGCGAGACACTGGAACAGGCTGCCCAGAGAGGCTGTGGATGCCCCCTCCCTGGAAACATTCAAGGCCAGGCTGGATGGGGCTTTCAGCAACCTGTTCTAATAGGAGGAGTCCCTGCCTATAGCAGGAGGTTGGAACTAGGTGATCTTAAAGGTGCCTTCCAACCCAAATCACTCCATGATTCTATGTTTATTTCTTTTGAAAGTTTGCTGTCTTTCACAACAGTGCAGAGCACTGAACATTCAAGCTCCAGCCCTCAAATAGCTCTCTTCAATTCCTCCCCTCCAGTTGTTCCCAGCCTCTGTAGCACCTCCTCCTCATCCCACCCTGCTGCTCTTTGATGACATGCTGTCCCTTCTGGCTTTAATTACTCAGCTGCAGTCCTGCTCCCAGCCAAGTATCACTGCAGCCACCTTGCCCTCCGGCACTGCTATGCTGTACTAAGAGTAGAAGTAAAATGTAATAAAAAAATGTGACAGCAAAAGAGGGGGAGATTTAGATGGGTTATAAGGAAATTTCCTTACAATAAAGGTGGTGAGGCACTGGCACAGGTTGCCCAGAGAGATGGTGGATGCCCCATCATTGGACATTCATAGTCAGGCTGGACCAGGCCCTGAGCACCCTGATCAAGCTGTAGGTGTCCCTGTTCACTGTAGGGAGTTGGGTTGGATGGCCTTTAAGGCTCCTTTCCAACTCAAGTGTTTCTATGATTCTTTGATTTAAAAATGCCTCATTTTCCTTGGTTGTATTCCTTGAGGAAGGCTGGGGTTCATACGCAGGGTAGGAGGCTGGTGTGCGTGCTCACTCCCGGGGAGCTCATAGCTGTGGGGCTGGGCTTCTGTTGTGCTGAGAGTTGCTGCCAGGCCCTGCTGCTATTCATTGTTCAATGTCCTGTAAGAGATGCGTGCTTTGGGCAGCAAAAATTCCTGTGGCAAGGAGTTTTACAGCTGGGTTATGCAGCATGCTACATTCACACGGGTACCTCTGCTCCGAGAGGAACTCTTGCATGTTTGGGAACACATGGAGCTACTTGAAAGTATGACCGTGCCATAACTTTGGGCGGTGACGTGCTGGCACAGCTGCCCAGAGAAGCTGTGGTGCCCCATCCCTGGAGGCACTCAGGGCCAGGTTGGATGGGGCTCTGGGCAGCTGAGCTGGTGGGGGGCAGCCCTGCTCACAGCCCAGTGTTGGGGTGGATGTGCTGTGAGGTCCCTTCCAGCCCAAAGTGTTGGGTGACTGTGATTCTTTACACTTCTGTCCAGTGCGAGGAACGGGCTGCCGTGTTTCAGTTACATCACTGTAATGGAAGGCACACATCCAGGAGAGGTGGCGAGGCTGCTGAATTGTCATTGACTTTGAAATCGTTCTCAGGTGTTTTTAAAATGACACGCTTGGTTCGTAGGTGGCAGCGGGAGGAAGAAATACAGCTCTGCTCTCCAATGTGATGGATGAGCTTGTGAGCTTCCGCACAAAGGTTCGTAACTACGCTCTTGTGCTGCCGGAAGCCGCAGAGACTGTGCAAATGGAGGAAGGTGCCGTGGGAGCAAAAGGACCAAAACAAGGACAGAAAGAGAAGAGAAGGCAGTTGATGCAGGAGAGAAAACCCCTCCTGGAGGCCTGCGACAGCCTGCGTGGGGACCTGGCTGCCTTTGGAATCCACATCAAGGTAAAAGACAGCTGCTCCCCGCGTGAGATGGGCCTTGGTTTGTCAGGCAGCATCCGGTTGTGCCCTTTCACAGCTCCCATCGCCGTGCTACAGCAGCAGTAGCAGGAGGCAGCTAATGGCCTGTCCTGATCCTCAGTCGTGTGTCCCCGTGCAAGCTGTAGCTCCTTCTGCAGCTGCCAAGGGAGTGTTGTTCTGCTGCTGAAAATCCCAGTGTTCAGAAATCCTGAAATTGTCCCAGTTCAATGCAGCAGAAGGGCTGAGAGCGATGTGTGCTGTTTTAAAAAGACTGAAGAGGAACAGGAAAGTAAACTGAGGTGACTGGTGGAAATAGTGCCTTCCCTCTACCTACACACCCATATCAAAAGGGTAGGTCCTCACCGGAGGCTCTGTTCCTCACTCTTGAGTTGTACATACTTTCCCTGGTTCCTGTACCACTTCTCTCTCTGTGGTGCATTCTGTTCTTAGTCTGTTCCTAATACCAGTCTTCTCCTGTTGCATTACCCTGACTGTGCTCAAGAGAAGTCCCCTCATAGGGTTGCTACCTCCTCCTGGTTTCAAGATGCTGCATTGCTGCTTCAGGGGGTGCTGCTGCTTCCAGCTCTGTTCTCACCTCAGCTTCAGGCTTTTTATATGCAGAATCGTGCCTGCTTTGCTCAGCAGTTCACTCTGCTCCTTGCACATGAGCCGTGCTCAGTGTCCTTGCGTTGTTTTACCACTGGGCAGGTACAAAGCAGGATCACGTCAGGGGGTGACCACAGGCATCCCTGGTAATTGCTGAGCGTGAGAGGTGATGTCAGTGCTGCCATTAAAAGCAGGCGGGAGCTGTGGTCAGCTCAGCATCTCAGATGGAAGCCAGCGTGCTGCTAAGTGCTGGGCTGAGGGACAGGGCACCCCGGTGCTGAACTGCAGCTGTGAAAGCAGAGGGAGCTGTGGGAAGCTGGAATATTTGCTTCCCTGTATGTACACAACTGCCTTCTGCTGAACCTCCGTTCTGTAGGGCTCTTCCGAGACTGCTGGAGGTGCAGCACAAGGGGTTCCTCTGTGTGCTGAGACTGACCCAGCACCCCCTGAGGGGTTTGGGCAGGCAGGGAGGGCTCAGCTGCTGCAGGCTGTAGTAGCAGCTCAGGGGGTGCTTATAAGTGAATTCAGTGAAAGTCAGATTTGAAGAAAGGGCGATTTCTTCAACTGATCGAGTTTATGATTTCTGCATGCTGTCTTTCATGTCGCTCAGTGCACGTGAGGTTTGTCTGAATTACAGAGCTTCAAGCAACCAGATGGAAATATCCATCAACCTGCTGCTACCGAGGGCGTTCCTGGGGGATGGCACCACCACCTCTGTTCCCTGTTTGATTAATGGCTTTGCTGCACAAGGGCGATGTAGTAAAATAAATAAGGAAATAAATTTGAACCCTCTCAGAACTGCACATGGTGCATTGTGTGGCACCCAGACCGAGTGTGAGGCAGATACAGACCCTTTGTGATCCCAGCTGCTAGGCCTGACCCACTGCTTGTTCTTGCAGGACAGAAGCACAGCTTCGACGTGGGAAATGGCAGAAGGCGGGCGAGCAGAGCAGCAGGCTGAGGAGAAAAGCTGAGCCTTCAGCGCTGGGCTTGCGCTTTAACTGCTGCGTTGTGAATGCTGCTACTATCCTAATAAAGTAGAAGGCGTCATCTTTTCAGTTGGCACAGTGTGATTTCCGGGGCTCAGGGTGCGTCTGTCAGCACTGGAAAGAGGGAGGTGGTGCATGCAGTGCACTCCTGGTCCCATTAGTGAGCCCCCACAGAGCAAGCAGCCGGCACGCAGCGCAGGGGGGAGTGGGAGGCGCTGTGGCAGCCTCACCCAGGGCTGCAGGGTGGCTCTGTGCAGGGCAGCTTGGATCAGCATTCAGTACTGAAACCCAAGGGGCTGTCAGGCGTGGTTTGACGACAGCCATAGAGGCAGTTACTGTGTGAGAGAGAGCAAATGCCTCTTTCCTTTGGCTGCGTGTGCTTTAAAGATAGGGGTGAGGCGGCTGTCGCTCTGTGCTGCCATGACCTGGAAGCAACAGCTTTGGGGGGAGACAAAGGTGCTCAGAACACAGGGAAGCACACAGCGTGAAGTTGCTATATTTTTATTTCCTACTGAAAGGAATTGCTACATTTCCAGAATGTTTAAAAATTGTAACAATCGTTATTTGAGTACATCGGTGAATAACAAAGTTACAGCTCTTGTGAAGACTTAAAAACCAACATGGCAGGTTGAGGTCTGTACTGACGGAGGTCCATCGGCTTGGCCTACAAATGCCATTTTGCTATAATGCCATTTTGCTATAATGCCATTTTGATACCCTGCCACTGATGTTCTAGATAAAACCTTTTGCTCAGTGTTCTACAGGAAATCCAGTAGCTGTTTTAAATCAGTTTGCTGATTATTATTATTTTTTTTTTAAAGGAGTTGGGCTTCTCCACTGAAGGGGAAAAATCATGGTACCTTGGTTTCCCCCAGCGTGGTGGGAGGGTAGAAAACTGCTTAAAGTGAACACCAGAAATCCATCTCTTGTGAGTAGACAGGCTCTAATTTAAGAAGTTCTGTGAACCCTCATAGACCAAAGAGAGCAAACATTTAAAAACCCATTTTACAAAATAGGTAACTGGGTTAAAAAGAAAAACAACACATTGGGGTGAGGTAGTAGTCACAGTGCATACAGAAGTAGTAATGCTAAGGGCCAGAGGGGCGACAGGCAGAGCAGCCAGGTGCTTTCTGTGGGAAGCTATTGCAAGCTATGAGGACACGATCTGCCCCGTGTGCGTGTCACTGTGCTCCACTCCAGAGCTGGAAAACAGTGGTTGCAATGAATATTTAACACCTGTTTTAACTACAAGGCACACCACTGTGTGCTTGTTCCTGCGTTTCAGTGAGTATATACAGCTGGAGCTGGAGTGGAGGTTCAGTGGTAGCACCATTCCCTGCCAGCTCTCTGCGAGTGCTCAGGATGAACTTGCTCCTCTCTCCATATCGGGGCAATCCTCGCAAGCTTTGACTGAATACTCCAACAATATGAAAAATGATTGTTATGCAGAATGCCATTCAACTTCCCCTTTATATCCAACACTGAATACCTCAAATGGGAAGGAACCCACAGGGATCATCAAGTCCAACTCCTGGCGCCACGCAGGAGTTTCCAGCATTCAAACCCTATGTCAGAGCGGAACTGTTGTGCCACTGAGCCAGCCAGGCATGTCCCTAACAAACAGGGGCAGACCCAGCTTGGCCATGTCTCTGCACAGCTGCCTCACACAGAGCTTTGGCCCCTGCCAGCAATTTTCTGTTCCTGTGGCTCCCAGTGCACACAGCTGCCTGCCTTAGCTCTGACATGCAGGGACATACAGGTTCGTATTCCTGTTGGCTGACAGACACTGGCCTACATGGTACATCTGTGCTCACGTTCTCAGAGCTCCAGTGCAGCAGCACTTGGGGTCCTACAAAGCTTTGCCATTACACCCAAGAGCCTGAGCCACGTCGGTTCACGGCACGGCGTTCCTCCCCTGCGTAGCACCTCTCTGAATGAGAACGTGGCACAATTCTTCGTGCCCAGTTCCGGATGACTGAGACCAGCTAAAGGACTAGAAAGGAGTTCCTCTCTCAGGTAAGCATAAATGCTGTTTAATACTAACATACCTACAGTATATCCTTACTGTGCAATGGGGGAATCTTCCCAAAGCCCAGACCTTGAAGGAAGGATGTCCAGTCAAAATGAATGCTGCCTCTGGGACTGGGAATGGAAAAGGCAACTAGTTACATTCAACATCTAAAGCAACGCTCATGCATTCCCTTTCCAAGGAGGCTGACTTTCTGCTTCTTAAAGTGACTATACTACATGGCAAAACATGAAGTGCAATCGTTAGAGTCCAGACAGAGGGTCTAAGGATGAACTCAGGACAACCGTGGTGCAATCTAGGAAATTCGGTTGAGCTGGTGGAAGAATTTCATTCTTACCTAAGTCTTAAGTGCATTGTTTTGCTGTTCATATTTCAGTTATTGCTCAATAACTATCAAAAAGAACAGAGGAATACTTTCAGCTTAGTTTTATTATATTATAACAGATCTGCAACTACAGCTTATTTCAGCCAAAACATTTCTGTATTCCAAACTCTTAAAAAATATCTACATTAATCATATTTTTCTATTCTGAAAAATAAAAAAAAAATCTACCTAGCATACCGATGCTGCTACAGCACTTGCAGGGTGCATTACTTAAATTCTACTGTAAATGCAATGATTCTTGCAGTCGTCGGTCTTCCTTCTCTTCTCGGCTGCTCTGACCTCAGGTTTCAAAAAGTTTGCTAAAAGCTGTTCCAACTTCTGAAACCATGTCAGAGGCTGTCATTGAACGTCCGAATTTTTGGAAGGCCTGGTTGTTGCACTGCCTCGTCAGAGAGCAAGCTCCAAATGCAGCCACGAGGAAGGGATTTTGACTAAAAGGAAAGAAATCAAATTACAAACCATAGCTGAACGTTCTGCTTCTAAAGCAGTCTTGTGTAAGACTGATCCGGCCAGCGCAAGTAACCCTATAATGGACCAGGGAGCTCCTCAGTGATGGAGCTAGAGCACAACAAGCCCTTATGCAGCCACACTGGTGTAAAAAAGTGCTTAAAAATGAGATGGCAACCCAGCCCTCACCTTAGCTGGCCCCTAAAAAATACCATACTTTTATTTCTCGCCCTTGGGTGTAACACTGGAGTTCCTTTCCCCATTAGCAGAGGGGACTCTGCTCTCAGGGACAGCGTTGGGGTCATGGACAATCAGGTGGCAGTCAGTGAGAAGATGTATAAATGCCTCATGAACTGCACAGAAGGTCATTATGTATCATTAGATCAGCTTAACAAGAGCTCTCTAACACCTGAAAGCCCCAACAGAAACTCTCTTGAAGCTCCCTATGTTGATGAGCTACCTAACAGTGTATCTGTGCCTGCCACTCAAGCACTGATCCTCCCCCAAAGAAGGCAGCACAGATATGAGGCCCAGCAGCCTGCACACAGTTCTTATGTTCCCTAGCACCAGGTTCATGCCTATGGTATTCCAAAGCCATCACCTCTTACTTACTAGAACCCTGTGTGCTGTACCAGAGTGTCTGCAGAACATGTGCTGGCTGTGCTCATCTCCCCAACAATCCGGTGCATGGCACGCACACAAATGAACTCATCCTTTTCATTATGTAAAATGAAGTTACTCTTTTACTGACAGCTGCAACTTCAGACACACCAACAACCCTGGTTTTGTTCTCCATTCTGGATATGTTACGATTTATGTGATGGAAACAAGGAGGTGATGCTCATTACATTTGATATTTAGCACACTAACTAGAAAAGATGAAAAGTGGAGCAGGGATCTGGCATTTGCTGCAGTCAGCCACGCTCAGTGGGGCACCCAGCAAGGCAGAATTCAGCCTTAAGCTTCAAAACTGTGCTCAGCCCTGAATACCCTTTCTCCAAATACCCGAGACTGAAAAAATACAGAAAGAACTGGAAAGATACCTAGAAAATGAGAGAGACTGCTGTGTGAGGACATGCTGCAAATACAATCTTTGCAAGAGATGATAAGATGGTAATACCAACATTTGCTCAGCAAATTAAGTGAAACACTCCACATCTTTTTCTCATGCAAGCTACCATTTCATATACTACCAAAGGGTACATTACTACTGCTGCTACAACACCAGATGGGATGTACAATCACACTAACGACATATTTGAGAAGTACTTGGGGAAATCTTTTTGCTTAGTGGATTAACAAACACAATAAATTATTGAAAATAAGGGTGAACTAAGCGTTTTTTTTTTAAACGAGTATTTAGACTAAGAAAAAGCCTGATGCTTCATTACTTCAGACTGCAGTCTACATTCTTAGCTCACTACATTCTGGGAAGAAGCACTGTTGTTCCCTAACAACTGCTTGTCATCCTTTACATTTCACTTAGAGCAGCTTCTTTCACAGACCCCAAAACTCTACACACCAAGCAGTCAGATGGGAATTGATGCAACTCAGCAGACAAACCAGCAGCCAGCTGCAGGTGAACGTCTGCTTTATGTATGAGCAAACAGGGCAGCTGCTTGGCCTTAAAGCTGTCACCCTCTTGGAACCTGTATTTTGTTTTTGAGTTTCAACCCACCTGCTCCACTACCTTACTTTAGTGAATGCAAGGTAATTCACCAAGTTACAAAAGCAAAACTACATCAAGCTTAGCTCTGAGCTACACAGATGTTACTGAGAGTGACCACTACTTGCTTACCCTTCACACTTCCTGCTTACATTCAGCTGTTTTGGAAACACACCCTCCATATGTAAGTGTCTGTGGGAACTGAGCCAAGATCACACTCTTCTTCTGCCTCCAACTTGGGACATGCTTGTCTTGTGATGTACCTCAGCTCCACAGCACACTTGCAAAACTGCATGGATGCTTCAGACCCGGTGACTCCTCCAATTTTATTTGGACATGTCTAGAGCAGGACTACAGCAGCGGCCACAGGGGAACGCAGACTCACAACAGTGAAGACATTATTAACAACATCCATACCCGTTTGTTTTTTCTGCTCCAGCCAGAAATGCCCAGTGCGCTAAGACTCCGAGGGAACCAGAAAGGAGGTCTCCTTGTCCTCCACATCTCCGGCTGCTTCCTTCGTGACTGCACACAAGCACTGT